ATTTTAAATAAATTAAATTCTGATTTTAAAGGTTTTCAATTGAAAACCTTTAAAATCAGAATTAATTTACAAAAAGCGCTGGTATTTTTTTTAAAACGATGTATGAGTTTACACTATCCTAAATGTGTTAGCGTTTCGAAGATGTCTGATTAGGGGGTGTCCATTAATTACGTGAGTCAATTTTAGCGATTTTTTGACCCCCTCCCCCTTGCTGAGATGTCGTGAGATTTGGCTCAACCCCCCTCCCCCTAATCTCACATGAGATTTTAAAAAATGCTTATTTTTAATGTTTATACGTTAAACTGCTTGATTCTGTTGGATTTATTAAAAAAACATACTTTGTTAAAAAATACGTGATATTTGCCGAGACCCCCCCTCTCCCTTACGTGAGAATTGATGGGATTTGGCTTGACCCCCTCCCTCCCCTAAACGCCTCACGTAATTAATGGATGCCCCCTTACGGCTTGTACCGGTGACGCGCTCGAAAATATTTAATATCTTCCGATCCAAAAAAGTCTCCATTTTTCTGAAAAATTCATTTTGTAGAGTAATAAATAGTGCATAGAACAGTATTTTTTTCATTTTTTTTTCATAGAGGGGGCAAACACAAAAAATCTGTTTATACAAAAAAAAATATTTTTTTCATATAATAAACAAAACACAAACTTTTTAAATATTTATCTAAAAAGACTATGTATCGTATATTAAAGACTATGTATCGTATATTAAATATGGTTTAAAATAAAAAAAATGAAATCGATCCGATCAGTAGAACCGGAGATAATGAATTTTAAGTACAAAAGAATTCAGCATTTTTTCAAATTTTATCAAAAGTTTAAATCAATATATCTTTGGAAAAATAAATTTTCTGCAAAAATTCCGGGGTCGGCTAAATTTATGAAAAGATGCTGTAAAAAAAAATTAAGTCATTTTAAAAATTTGAAAAAATATGTTTTCTGTAATCCGTACGATATGTAAAAGAATGTCTCATATATAGAAATATATCGGTATTTCTCGACAATATCGCAAGCTTTGACCTTTCAGCGAGGTATTTTGTGATTTGTGCAATCGTTTTAGTGGATGTTTCAGGATTTGAAATTCCACATGTCCGTGAGTGGATTGCTTCGAGAAGCTCAAGGACGTAAAAACTTGTAACTGGGCAGTAAGAGCCTAATTGGCTCAAGTCCAATTCTCTCAAAAGAGAGAATAAAAAGTATAGAAGAAGAATAGAGCATAGAGCTACAAACTTACCTGAATTAAGAAAACCTTCATGCTTAATGCAAATCTCTTTGTCTATATTATTTTTTTGCACTAAAATTTTCCATTTCACCTTCGAGCCCTTCATACTAAATATTTCGGCTTTAGTGGTAAAATCAGTTTCTTTTTTGGATTGGGTAGATTCACGTTTAGTTTGTGGTTCTACAGCGTCTTCTTTGAATGATAACGATTTGCTATGTCTTGGCAACGATACATCAGACCAGGTTTTCTTTCCTTCAGTCTCTACTACCTCCTTTAACTCTCCACAAGAAATGCAATCACAATCGCCTTGTACTAAAAAATAGCGTCTTTAAGTAAATTTACTTAAATTAAAAGTGGAGGTTGTGCTTCGTCTTCTCAATATTTAGTTAACAATTGTTAATTTGCAAATTTGAGGTAAGTAATTAAATTTCCTCCAACTAAATATTCTCCAAATTTTATTATCCCCTAAAATTGTAAATCAAAAAATTATATACACACGTTTAGTTATAACTAAAAACTAGTTTTAAAAGTAACAAGCATTTAAATGTTACTACAGTAGTGTGGTATATACCAAACTAACATTTTTTGTTAAATTTTTTAATATTTACCGTTTGGATAATTAAGAAGTTCTTTGTATTTTCTTGGACAAACTACTGTTTCAACTGAAAATAATCATTATTATAATTTTTTTCTCAAGCAAAATAAAAAAATTACGTGGATATTTGGTTATTTTTTTATCATTTTCTGCAATAGGAGTTGTTTTTTGTTCGACAACAATTTCTTTTTTGATATGTGCTGATGGATCTGGACAAATACATTTTGATTTTTTGCAACCCATGAATTTTGAATTTAGATCTTATTTAATTTAATTTTATGATGAATGAAATGTGATGATTGAATGACTTTAAAATAACCAAAATATTGACAAATTTGATAGTAAAAATTGACAATTTTTAACTCCAGTGTCGCCATTTTTGATAATATTAGCCTATTGGCATTAAAATAAATCCATTGTTTTAAGTTGAGATTATTCCAATAAAAACAGAATTATTAAAAAATTATACATTATTACATCAAATAGGTTGTACAGCGGTCATACTGCATGATTCAAAATGGGAATTATTAAAAATAATATACAGGGTGCTTAAAATTTAATAGGTCATAGAGTAAATGTAGACTCCTTAAATTTATTTATCCTAGAAATACCCCCATTTAATTATTAAAGTTTTATAAAGTATACAATAAAAGTTGTAAGTGCACTTCAAAAAATTCAGAGGTGTTAAAAGGGGTATAATCAGAGGTGTTAAAACGGGTATAACGTTATACCCCTTTTATTCTAAAGCCTTCAATTTTACTTAAGGCGATTATAATGGATTTTTTAAATGTTATGATGGATATACAGGGTATCCCAAAAGTAACAATATCCTTTGAAGGACTGCAGTCTTGATAGTCAAAAACTTACGATATTTTTACTAAGGTCGACATAATAATTTTTTGATATTCTGATTTGTCTTGATAATAAATTTCAGCATGAAATTCACAAAATTTTTATACACATTATGAAATTAAATTAGAATACACCAAGCACATATCTGGATGTCCATTTTATGAATCAGATATCTTATTCATAAAACAAATTATATATTACATCAAGTGAGCACGTTGAGTGAATCAACGCTTCAGCTTTAAAGAATTCGTAATGCTGTAGGTTAACCCCATACGAGTGGTTTTTAAACTATGGTTTTAAATTTCTCGCCTTAAAAAATTTAAATAGTTTTAATTCAAAACCCGAGTCAATGGAAAGAAACATTTTTTTACATCCTGTATCTTGCAAACATGTTTATTACCATCTTTTGAATTAGGCAAGTTATATTATAATAAAAACCAAAGATTATAAACTAAAAAAAACGATTTATTAAACAACAAAATACATTTTATAACTTCTCTAAATATCATTTCAATCTTTGTCTAAATCTTCTTGGTTAAGAACATTTTTACGACCTACAGCAAAAACATTATAAAATACATCACAAAATCAGATAATTTTAATTTGAAACCTTTATGCTGTTTGATAATAATCTTCCATTTAAGATTGTCCCCTTTTAATTGTGATATTTCAGCAATGGGGTCACTACTTTCCATAGTAATATCACTTTCAGCCTTTGTGGCACTCGAACATGATGAACTATCTGCATCTCTGACAAAAAATATTATTAGTTTAATTGATAACGTGTTGAATAACCTTATATTTGAAATAAGAAATTCCTCTTAAGATGAATCACTAATGCGAGCCTTTTTGCTTTCTACTACTTTTCAATCAACTTCAATATATTTACCGAATATTTAATTTTGAACATTCAGAGTATGCTTTACGAACATCCAGGGATGAAGGAGACAATTGAAAATCTTTAGTTTTAACTGTATTTCTATGGTAATGCACTATGGGAGCGCTGTCATCGGTTAGTAGTTTAGCCTTTGCCCCTAATGAAATAAAACCAATTATATAATTATTATTAACACATTTGTTTTAAATTGTGTTTAAAGTTATAAAATTGATCCCAAAAATAATAACGGTAAAAATAAACATTATGAACATAAGTACTAATTTTACCAGAAGTAAAAAGACGTTTTTTCATTCCAGGAACAAAAGTTCTTTGGTTCTTTGGCTTGGCAGGAGGTGGTGTTTTCTTAGGTTTCGCAACCTTCAGAATATCGAGGGTTTGTTGAATATCAGGTGGTGGACAACAACATTTCTGAGTGCTGCTTTCTTCACTTTTTTCTGATGATTTGCAAGTGCAACAAGAAGAACACGAACAAGAGCAAGAACAACTGCTCGGTAAAGGTATTTCTTCTATTTTAGTTAAATTAGAAGAAGCTTTTACCTCTTTTGGGTACAAGTTGGATTTTAGTCTTTCTGAGTACATTATTGTTTGGTAATTTCCAGGCATAGGTTCCATATAGCCATGACATTCGAAGAGCTCGTTGTTTTCATTGGTTTCTATAAATAGCAAAAGTGCAACGTTTAAAAATATGCTTACCCTGCTGCAGCATAAGTCTAAAATACAAACCAATTACAGGATTTAAGGATGTCCCACAAATGCAGTACTCGTCCCGATTATGTTCTCGAGTATGTCCTTGAGTAATATCCTGATTATGTTCTCGACTTTGCCTATCAATAGACGGAGGTTTACTTTTAATAGACTCTAGACTTTGCATATGAATAGACGGAGGTTTAACCTCCGCTGTGGGCAGTATCTGAATGTGTTTTGGTTTTTCCGGTGTGTTTGTTATTCGCCTGGGCTCTTCCGTCAACAGGGGATGGTCCTTTATTTGCCTTTCTTCTTGCTCTTGTTTGGAAGCCTCCGCCTGCTCTCGCATGGAAACTTCCGCCTGCTCTTTTAAACTCAAAATCGGCAGGGACGCAGCAGACCAAATCGACTTGTGTCGGCCTTGGTATTCCAATGGTTTAAAGGTGGTAAGTTTTCGGGAATCAGAGATCAGTACTCCCGTAGGTACGCGTTTTATTATCAGATTTTCCAGGATGTCGGTGTATTCTTCTTGGCCAAATGAAAGGTAGTATAATTCGGTATCTGGTTCGAATCTGAAGCAAGGGCAACAGGTAAATTTTTTAAGTTTTTTCATGGTGGAGCTATATCATGAAAAAATAAGTTATTTATGACATATGTCAATAATTTGCTAAAATCACTGTATAATTTGTGTTGGACCAGTCATTAAATAAAACAAATTAGTAATAATAAAAAATGTATTAATTTCTATACACACAAAATAATAAAAACAAAAATATAATGCAATTAGGTTTTTCTGCCTTTCTTTGTTTGTTTTTCTGAATTGCCATTTTCAGCAACATCCTCTTCTGAAATTTCAGGCAATTCAGCTCTAACAGAAGCTACTTTTCTTACTCTACTTGATCTTCTTACAGGTCCTTTAGACTCAGTAGTATCTACAAAAAATATTTAATGAAAAAAAACATTTATTAAAATTAAATTTAATGCAATATGCTTATGGCGGCCAAACTTTATGACCTTCATCTTGGATGATTTTATAAAAAAATCATAATGCTGGTGTTTAAAATAAAAAAAAAATTTTTTAGGTTGTTTGAAGCATCAACAACAGTGGTTATTGGCTCTTTATTTTGTTAATAACCTTAAAACCAATTTTTTTTGCAAATTTTACTTCGTGCCAATTAGGCATAAAAATATTTGTGCCACATTTGTAACGTCCGCACACACCAAGTTTTAAAGGGCGGAAAATTATAAATTAAACTGTCCACAAAATCGGCCTGCGGAAGGTAATACTTGGTCGAAATCATCTGCCGGGGATATCCGATCAGATACCAAGTACACTATTAAACAAATTTCATATTTTAAATATGATATTTGGCTATAAATATTGGACTAACTAGTCCAATCAAACTGTCGTTTTACCTTGCTCATTTAAAAAGCTCAATTTAAAATTTGCACCACCGCGAAAAAATAAATTTTTTCAGTTTTTAGTGAATATCTCGGCCCCCGTATATTGCACAATCTTTATACATCTATACATATAAATAAAATTGATCTGTTAACATTTTTTCCGTGCTAATCTCCGGCTGAATCGATTTTGACAGGACTTTTATTGTCATGTTTTGACCTTTGAGTCAGCTTTGACCTTTTGACATTTGGGACATTTCAAGCATGCGGACGGGACAAATTACAAACTGTTTATTTTTAACTGTTGGTAATTTATTATATATTGTAATTTGGCATCAAAATTGTCTTAGGTTAAACTCTGCAGCAACTTCTCTGCTACTACGAGCATGATCACCAAACAACCGGATTATTTCGATTTTTTCTCTTAAAGTCAATGGCATTTTAATTCTCTGATCACTGATTAAAAATTAACGCAATAAACTCACAGTTAAATTTGATATTTAACACTTTAGTTAGTGTAAAATTATTACATTCCATGGCTCCTTTATTATCAAACTAAAAAATTAACTTGTAATAACTTTGTGTAGACCAAAATAATAAAAAATTAAAAATCGGTATACGGGGTGAGAATAATATTCTGAACAACATTTTCTAATATTGCAGTTGCAATTGCACATGTCTGCAAAAAGGACTGAAAGGCAGTAAGTACTGATACAAGTTTCGGCCCAGAAAATAAATAAATAGGTAATACGCCCGCAACAAACAGGCTTTCCGCGAGACAAAAATAGCCAATTAATAAATTCGACACAATATCTAAATAAATAACACTAAAAATGAACGTTTAATTTCTAACTAATCTAAAACTGACTACCAAATAATATCTCTTTAAATTTAAACTTAAAGTTTGAAAGGTTAAGGTTTTTAAGGTGTAATGACCCAGCCCATTGACAATGGGGCCATTGTACAGCCAGTAAATGTTGTATGTAAATGATCTCTCAAACGATGCTGTATGATGTAAAGTTGGGGAAAGCATACCCTTGAAACGCAAATGCGGTATAACAATTATTGAAATCTCGAATATCTCGAAAACGGTTTATTTTATCGAAGTTTGAGAGGTACACCTTTTTAATAGTAGCCGAACTGAGTAATCAAAAAATTGCATCAAATGGTATGAAAACCTAACCTCAAAGTTTGTATGGGACAATAAGCTTAAGCAACCCCTGTTTCTACGACAATCTGTTCACTCGAACAATAATTGTAATTATGTGTAAATATGTGTTTTGGTAGTAAGTGACTGTTCGCAAAATATCACCTTTCCAAGTCTACCACAGTAGAAGTTATATTAAAAAAACTGATATGGTAAGTAACACTTTATCACCCTGTATCTTTTAAACATACGTAATTAGGAAAAATATTTATTTAGATTTTCGTCTTATTTTAACTTGCTTAATCTGCTCCTAAATTTATGCCACTAAGTTTAGGGACACCTTGTATATTATAATACATTACCTACAATTTTTTTTATACAAACAGTATTGTGATTTGTGCACATATAGTACGGCATCATCGCTTCTACAGGCCACACGTGCGTTTCTCCGCTCTGAACTATAAACAATATAGTGCATAAGCAGTGCATTTAAAACCTATATATGAGTACATTAGATGCACAACTTTGTATTTGCAGGATAAGTGATTTTAAGAAAAACATGAAAAACCGCTCATAAGATCATTTTTGAAAAAAAAAGCAAAAATTGTATAGACGTGCTTTTCCATCATTTTTATTCCAAAAAGTAAAAAAAAATCCTTTAAAATAATGTTTTAGTAAATAATGGTAATCAAAAGATTTAAAAACATAGTTTTGCATCTTCCTCGTTCAAAGACCAAGTTTTGCAAGTGAAAAGTGCAAATACCAAAAAATAACAATTAATCAGGTGATTGTTATGTCGTCACGTAATGCGTATACTAGCGACGTGATTGGTCAACAGCAAATACCGAGTTTTGCATCCGACAGGAAGAAACATATACCCAGTTTTGCATCTGCGTTAAGTTTTTAAATGTATTTTATTCTACAAATACTAACTTATACATCTGGTTTACTTAGGTATAATGCAGGCAGTGCAGTAATGTACAGGGTGATCCCATATAATGTCGCCCCCCTAGGGTGGCAATTCATTTCACACTTTTAACAGATATGAGAACATTAAATGCAAAATTCGGTTTTTGCAAATTTTTAAAAATATATATTTTATCCTATTTTTGTACAGTAGTTGCAAAAATCGAATTTTGCATTTAATGTACTCATATCTGTTAAAAGTGTGAAGTGAATTGCCACCCCACCTGTCGGATTCACGGATCCACCCACCTGAACAGGTGGTGCACCGCGGCATGAACCTGGAAGAGAACCTGGAAAAAACATCTGCGATATTCAGATAAGTTTTTTAATATTGCACGTCGCTAATTGGGTAAATAAGAATTCACCGAGTTTACGGGTGAGTTTATACCTTCCCAAGTTAAATCTTTAGAATCAACAAGAAAGAACAAAAGAGTTGAACAGGGTTAACGAACCCTACACTAAATAGACCAAAGTAAAGTAAAGCAAATTCGAAGGTACCTGTCGTATAGAACGTGACAAGGTACTTAATAAACACATACATCTTATGTAAGTAAGCAAACCATTTTCTAATCTTTGCTTAAATAAACAAACTGCGAGACCTTCTCACCTTCTCGAGTATAAAAAAACAAATGGTAGAAGCAGTAAATTAAAAAAAAATACAATTTTTTAATTGTTATATAAGAATAGGGCCGTATTCCAATTACGTACACAACAGGGCCCGGCTTCATCTATTTGTATATTAAGTTTGTAAATTAATTTAAATTAAATTGATAATAAAGTAAGAATGGAAAGAACTAAATTTAAATAGTAAACGGTTGATACACTAATAACAAAATAAACAAAGAAGATACATAGTGGGTAGTCAGTGCTCGGCAGGAGGGGTTGAATAACCCTGGGAGATGAGTGTAAGGTGATATCGATGGGGCCTGCCATACGTCCCCATACTCATACTGTCCGTGTGCTTGACCTTTAATATTTTAAATTTCCAGCACTTTTGTAAAACATTTTTTATTTATTAATTTTTGTAAAAAAAACTAATTTTTGATTTTAAAAAAAAATATTTTTTCTTCATACCTTGTTCAAAAGTACGTACTTTCGTCCCTAATAGCAGGGACGAAAGTTTAACATTCACTCCCTGTGCTATTAGGGACGAAAGTGCGTACTTTCGACCGAGGTAAACTTTCGTCCCTGCTATTAGGGACGAAACTAAGTACTTTCGACCGATGTATGAAGAAAAATAGTATACACCACACGGGCCAAACGTTGAAATCTCGGTCCTGCGCGTCAGGGCCGAAAATTCGACTTTCTGTCCTTGTAGTGTAATATACCATTTCAATTTTGCATAAAAAAAATAATTTTTGATAAAAATCGTAAAATAATATACCTTTTAAGTTAAATGGATTTTGACAGCTAGTAAAAAATAAAAAAGCTTTCTATAAAGTTTTCTGTTTTAAGTGTTTTTTTGTTTAAACAAATAAGGAAAAAGTCAGTTAAGGTGAAACATTTGTTTTTGTCTTAAATTTTTAGGAAACGGTGCATTTTACTACAAATTATTGCGATAAACCTTTTGCAATCCTTTCTACAATTTAAAACAAATATATCGAGATCGAACAATCCACGAGTGAACATGGGCGCGTACGCGCCCCCTACACGGAGAAAAGAAAACAGTAACCATTGTTGCGCAGAATCAGGGTTGGCAAAATACATGTTTTTTTGAAAAACCGTTTTTTTATGGTTTATGGTATGATATGGTATTTAATATATGATAATGTGAGGCATAACACACATTCACAAATAATTTCAAATTTTTTTACAGCACGGATTCCAAGAAAATATATTTTTAGTTAAATTTGTTTTCATACGCCATTTGTTTATTTTATATCTTACAAACTCGCCTTTAACATGATCATATTTTTTTCCCTCAAGTTTGGAGAAAAATTTTTTTTAAATAATGTATAGGAAAAACTTTTTAAAATTATCATTTCAAATTTTGTGCTGCCAACTTAAGAAATACAAAATATAACATTAAACCTTAACTTTGCCATTATAACAACAAATTAACAAATTATATTGTTACTTATTTACCTTCTTAGGTTGTTTGTAGTTTTTAAGGATACTTTCATTTGTAATAAAGTATTAATTTGTTAAATAAAAAACAACGTTATTTTTACTACATTGGCGCGCTGTTACGGCCTTTATTTATCAAACTCTTTAAATGGAGATAGAGTTGTATTAATAAAAAAACGTATGATAATTAAAATGAGAAAACTTTCACCATAATAAAACCGGCTTATTACCAACTAAAATCATTATAATAATAATTATTATAGGTTAACCTATATTAAAAATGCAGAGCATTGACGTCAGGGATTAATTAAATAAAACTTAAATATTTTGTATCAAGCGCAAGTTTCGTAGGCGCATTAAAAATAACTGAAAGAAGATCCAGTAAATATAAGTATTTTTGACATAATTTTAATTTTTAATGTTTATTAATAATTACATAATATTTAATTCACATACTATAATTAAACATTGTAAAATGATGTACAATATAATATATTATGATAAATAAAATAATTACACATGTATCGAAAATGAAAACAAAATAATTCAATTTATTGATAATAACTATAAACAGAAAAAAACAGCAGGTAAAGTACCTAAGAATTTCAGTCCCTGTTTAATTTTGTATTTATATTATTTTTGACTTCAGATATTGAAAGAGCAATCTTTAATTTATATAGGTATTTAGAGAAAGAAAAAAAGAGGCGGAAGCGCTAGATGGCAGCACAAACAGAGAATGTTTAAAGCTTAATTTTCATGTATCCGTTTGTCCGTCATCCGCATGTCAGTTTTTCAATAAAATCGTCCGATAAGAAATGTTCTAATTTTCATGCATACGTTTTTTAATGGCGTTTAACGAATTGATTTTGCGACAAATAGAAATTAAGTGTCAGTATATTCACTTACTAAATTTACCTAATGCTTAATTGTCATAGTTACAATTATGTCAACAATTGTAACAGTTAGCTGTGTAATAAATTTAAAGGTAGGTAAATATACCTTATAAAAAGAATATACTAGCCCTAATATACATTAAAATATATAGTTTTAAAAAAGCAGGTCCTTTTAGTTCTAGTTTTAATTTTTTTTTGTTTGTTCTTTCTTTTTTTCCGTTATTCTTATTAAATAAAAACTTAACAGTAGAACATTATTCACATACCGAACGTAATATTTTCGTTTTACAATCTTATTGAAAAAATATAAAAATATTTGAAAATAAATTATCTTAAAATAACGTTAGGCGTCAAAAACAGCTGTTCTAGATGTTTAGTGACGGATGAGTTGAAATTATTTAACCTTTCTCTGTCAGACGTACGAAGTTGAAACTTGACGGACCGATAAAATGTCATAATTTTCGAATTATAATTGGACCAATAAGAGCGCTCCCGGATGAACGGACTGACGGACAAACGGATACATGAAAATTAAGCTTAACACGTTCGCTGCTGACGGCGTCTAAAGACGGCCACCGCTTCTTAAGTGGGAGGCGAACGGCGCCTTTTGACGTCCACTAAAATATCGCTTATTATCCTTTAGTAATCCTTTAGACATAGACGTCTTCCGCCTCTGGATAAATTTTTTTAGCAGGTGGCTGACGACGTCTTAAGACGTCCTAGCCCTGAGTTTTTTTTATAAAATAAATGTGTTTTAAACTTTTCTTGTTTTCAAACTGTTTAATATTTCCTAAACTATTTCAGTTTCTGGGGGTCGATTGCCCATACCAGTCAGCAGCGAAAGTGTTAATGCGTTGTTACATGCAAAATGTTTGAGAAAAATTATTAGTCACTTTCGATAATTATGTCTGGGACACTTAGGCCCCTTTTTTCGAAGCGCGTCACAATATGTATAAATAAGAATAGTATATTCTGTAACAAGTTTGGAATACAGCATATTCCGCTCGAGTGAAGAGTTTGTCACACGAGCCGAAGGCGAGTTTGACGGTTTCAGAGAACGGAATATGCAATTCCAAACGTGTTTCAGACTATACTTTTTCTGCGTTTCCAAAAAATACCATAGAAAAATAATTTAATTGGAAGAAAGTGAGGTTGGATCGGTCTAAAATTTGTTAGATATTAAAAACAGAGATGTCGCCACGAGTGTTTATTCTGTAATCAGATGATAAAATATTTCATTTTCTACTCCTATTACGGAATTTGACCGTTCTAATATCACTTTTGTCTATGGAATGACATATATTCCGTAAAGTGTTACAGAATGAAATATCATCGGATTACAGAATAAACACTCGTGGCGACATCTCTGTTTTTAATTTCTAACAAATTTTAGACCGATCCAACCTCACTTTCTTCCAATTAAATTATTTTTCTATGGTATTTTTTGGAAACGTAGAAAAAGTATAGTCTGAAACACGTTTGGAATTGCATATTCCGCTCTCGTGAAACCGTCAAACTCGCATTCGGCTCGTGTGACAAACTCTTCACTCGAGCGGAATATGCTGTATTCCAAACTTGTTACAGAATATACTATTCTGTAGCACTTTCCATAGACAAAAGTCATATTAGAACGGTCAAATTCCGTAATAGGAGTAGAAAAAATATTTTTTGTAATTTTATTTAATTAACCTACGACGTCAATGCTCTGTATGCTTTATAACCTATAATAATTATTTTGACTTATGACAGTTTTCTCTCATTCTAATTCTTGTAACCTTTTTTAATGAATACAACTGTACTACGTTTGTTTAAAACATTTTTTTAAATAACCAAAACATGTTTTTCAATTGGAATGATATATTATTATACCATTGAATTTGTCACGCAATTCTGATTAATTGGGATAAGTTATATTAAGATCATTTGAAACAGAGTTTTAAATGTCTTGTTTAAAACATGCCAACGCTGTGCAGAACAGTAAGTAATATACTAATATACTTAATAATACAATTTCTAATAAATTACAAACTTATTTGTCAACAGCAATAGTAACTTTTGTACCCAGCAATGATTACTTCCAGAAACTATAGTAAGCAATATTCTGCACATTATTTAATATTATGATTTTGAATAGTATATTTTACTGGACTACTAAATTTGATTACCCACAAAACTATTAGAAACCTATGTTAATATGGGCTTTTTCCCTTAAAATCATCAAGCATTGGGACCATTTATGCAATTATAAAACACCACATGGTGTTATAAAGCCTGTATATTAATTACCTGTTTTAACAGAAGATACAGATCCAGCCTTACTTCTTGTAGATCTTACAGAACCTGTATCTGAAACAACACTGTCAGTCGACTTTTTTCTACCCCTTTTTGGCGGTGAAGGTAATTCAGAATTTTCAGAGACAGAATCGATAGAACCTTTCCTTGATCTTGTTTTTATTCCTATAAAAAAAACAAATTAAAGAGGTAAGTTTGAACAATAAATATCAGGAAAATGTGGTAAGTAACAATTATGTACCTGAAACAATTGGGCTATCAACATAGTCAGCTGAAAGCCTTCTGCCTCGTCTAGGCGCTGGTGTAGTGGGCTCTAATGTAGCTGAAGCCGATCTTAACATTCTCCTAGCTGGCTTTACTGGTGATTTTTCGTAAACTTTAGCTTCTTCCGGATCTGGAGGACCTATGAAAATCAATATGCCTTTACAAAGAAAATAACCACATAACATTATCTTACCTTCAAAAGCAGGTTTATCCAACAAATTAATCGGATCGATATCGTCGACTTGTATGGACCGTCTTGTGCTCCTTCTAGACGTCACTGTGTCACTGTCGCTGACATTCGACGGCAAATGCACAGTCGAAACATCTGAACCCGCCGCGCCAATAGAGCCTTCTTTTTGGTCGATGCTCGTCCTCCTCAGGGGCCTCTTCCGGGAGCCGCCCGGGGTCGGCGGCGCCTCCTGATCGATGCTGATGCTCCTCGCTCTCGAACTTCGTCTGGTGGGCGTGCTTTTAAGCACGGACTCCTCGATTTTGGCGGAAGATTGCGACAATCGACGAGATTTACGGAGCGGTGTTGCCGGTTGGAGGCTGTGGCGTCCTAATTCCACATTTAGATTTATTAACCTAATCAGTATGGTGGGTTTATTTTAAGGAATATGCATTCGGGGTTTACCAAGGAAGAATAAATAATATAAGTACATATGTGAAATACCCACCTGAGCCCTTGTCAGATTCAAAATCAGCTACAGATGTTCTGTCGAGAATATCAATTTCGTTGGCTTTTTTAAATTGGTCATCTTTTACAGTACCTGAAAGTTTAGTAAACAGTTTTTAAACTGTAGGTATATTATTAGCAGACATTTTTAGAAATCAATTAGAATTAATTATCTATTAATATCTGCATATTAAACAATTCCTATATTTGTACCGATTTTTATACGACATTTTAACTTGTTTATACATAATTATACATTATATTAAATAGCAGCTTTTAATAAGTATTTAATTCATAGTTAAAATATGTTACTGATGGTGGTACATTTACTAATCTGTGGATCATCGTAAAATGATTTATTTATTTATGAATTAAATTGAATTAGGCAAATTGCAGTTAACCATAGCTATAAAGCACAATTATAATAAATAGTAATTATATTTACCAACATTCTAAATAACGAAATCCAAAAAATTGCATAAAGAATCCCATGAATACATACAATAGTTTTACATATTTGGGTACAAATATGAGTCATTTGTCCAACTTTGTCAAAAAATCAATATTAATGTTGTATTTAAAACTAATAATAATTTAAGCATGTTCATTGCAGTGTGGATTGCTGGTGGATTTTGGGTATACCAATATCTTAGTTATTATACATGGACCCCACACCAAATTTATAATAGTTTATAATGACATTAAACAGACAAGTTCGGCACAAACCGAATTTAAATTGAAGTTTGCGAAAAAAATTTAGTTTTTCGTGTCGCCTCACCCGCCTCCTGGCCCCCCTATTCGAGATAATTCAAATTAAAGTGGTGCAATTTATAATATGCTAATTTAATTTAATAAATTATAGCATATTATAAATTGCACCACTTTAATTTGAATTATCTCAAACAGGGGGGCCAGGAGGCGGGTGAGGCGACACGAAAAACTATTTTTTTTGTAGTGTGCGTCCCATGTCTAATAACTAAGATATTGGTATGTATACCAATATCTCAGTTATTATACCCAAAGTTTACCAGATGCCACTGGTTCATTGAAAACAACAAAGACAAGTACAGTAAAAATATGAAGTCAGGAGTATAATTAACGTGTGCAGATTGTCTTAACTGTAACTTTAAAACATAGAAAAGCATTTGTAACTCATAAACTATTTAATGGATTACAAATTCGCATAAAGTTAAAAACAGGTGTTAAATACATTATTACAGATGAGTCCCCACCGCGGTGGGGTACTATGCCGAATACGACTTTTCAAACTTTCGTAATCGCTATATCTCAGCAATCCTCATTCGTAGAAAAAATATTAAAACGACTTTTGTAGACAACTGCATGATATACAATAGACTGGGCCAAAAAAATTGACTATTTTTTTTTTTTGAAAAATATATCGAGAATGTCATTCAGAATGACAAAAAAAAAATTTCGTGAAAATTTGAGCCCTCAATATTAATTTTAAGAGGTCTATCATCGCTATTTTTGATTTTTAGTCATAATATGATGTTTTACGTTGGAACTGTCAAAACAATAAAGTGAAAAAAATTCCTTGTCACTTATTTTTATAAAAAATTAAATTCTCTACAAAAAAGGTCTGATTGAAAATTTTCGCCAGACGAGCCGTTTCCGTGTAATTGAGCTTAATAAATCGATGTGTTTTTTCGATTTGCCCTTTTTACTTTGAAATTTTGTAACTAATGAATCAATGAATATTTAAAAAAGCTCACGTCGGATTCTTAAAGGAAATTTAATGTTCTACAAAAAAGGTCTCGGAACATTTTTGCCTAAATTTAATTCTTCAAAAGTTATTCACGAAGAAAAAATTGAAATTTTAAGTTTTTCTTCGATTTTAATCGTGAATAACTTTTGAAAAATTAAATTTAGGCAAAAATGTTAAGAGACCTTTTTTGTAGAACATTAAATTTACTTTAAGAATCCGATGTGAGCTTTTTTAAATATTCATTGATTCATTAGTTACAAAATTTCAAAGTAAAAAGGGCAAATCGAAAAAACACATCGATTTATTAAGCTCAATTACTCGGAAACGGCTCGTCTGACGAAAATTTTCAATCACACCTTTTTTGTAGAGAATTTAATTTTATATAAAAATAAGTGAAAAGGAATTTTTTTCACTTTATTATTTTGACAGTTCTAACGTAAAACATCAAATTATGACTAAAAATAAAAAATAGTGATGATAGACCTCTTAAAATTAATATTAAGGGCTCAAATTTTCACGAAATATTTTTTTTGTCATTCTGAATGACATTCTCGATATATTTTTCAAAAAAAAAAATAGTCAATTTTTTTGGCCCAGTCTAATATACAACTTTTGTTTGACCTATTTTTACGATAACACTTACCGTTTAAGAGAAATATGCAAAAACCCGATATTTTTGCCTTTGACCTTGAACATAATTTTTAGAAAAAGTAGGATTGGTGCACCGATGGAACTTAATAATTGCACCCAGGCCGTCCCTATATTTATAAATTTTCGAATATAACGTGAATTTGCAGTGCAATTAACATTTCAACGCAGTTACCCGCCATCTTTTGGTTCGCACATGACGTCACACGGTGCGAGAGGGATAGCTATAACATGCGCATCAGCATACCGGTTTTTGTGTATCGTGACAGTTACGACCTCTGCTTAGCACGGTAGTTTATAAATAGTCACACAAACCCACTCTCTAAAAATACCGTCAAAAATTATAAAAGTAGAGCAGTAAAATTGACTATAACTCAAAAACTGTTTTACTTTTATAATTTTGACGGCATTTTCGGATTCAGGGGACAATTTTACACGGAAATTGGCTGCGAAATGTTCGGAATACAAATTGCTATTGAATTTTTAGTGGCTGCTTTTTCGCTAAGACAATTAGTAATTTTTGACTAATTCATTTTTAGACAGCATTCTGTTATATTTTTACTAATAAGTATTGGCTGCGAAATGTTCGGAATACAAATTGCTATTGAATTTTTAGTGGCTGCTTTTTCGCTAAGACAATTAGTAATTTTTGACTAATTCATTTTTAGACAGCATTCTGTTATATTTTTACTAATAAGTAAAAATAATACAGAATGCTGTCTAAAAATGAATTAGTCAAAAATTACTAATTGTCTTAGCAAAAAAGCAGCCACTAAATTATTTTTTTATAAATATTGACTGCATATTAGTATTTTCGATGTTTAATATTGCGATACCTCAATAATGATAGAATTAATAGAAAAAAAAGTATTAGAACAATTTTTGTAGACCATTGCATGTTAAACCAATACTTTTGTTACACCTTTTTTTACAATAACACCAAATCTTATAACCTATATTTCTAACCTTTCACCTTGAATAAATTTTTTAGCAGTGGGATCGGTGGTGTCTTTTCATATTTCATTGGTAAAAGTGTATTTAATCCATATACCAATTTTTAGCTTAATGGGAATTTTGTTGTTGTTTATTTTGACTGGACTATTAATGAAAACGTCTTATTTGACAATAACTTTCGACATTAAAAAATGTAATCACTTTTAATTAGGAGTCATAGTTTAGGAGAATAAAATCTCCACATGTCAAATTTATAATACCGCACAAAACATAATTACCTTCAACACTTTTATATACTAACAACAAATTTTAATAATTATATATTAATAATAATATACCTACTTAATTGTAAACTATTTTAAAAGGCGTGTTTTTTTAGAAAAAATAAACACCTATTCTTAATCATTTAATCAAAATATTTTTGTCAAATTACTAATTTGAAATTAATTAATTTAATGTAATCATTATTATTTTAAAGAATAAAATAAATAAAACCTTGAACTCACCTTCTTCATCATTGCCAACAAAAACTTCTTCAGGTATACTCATATTCTCAAAATCACTACCAGCTGTGGTAGACAACAACAAACTGCTTCTTCTAGTAACCCTCCTCGAAAAACCACTTGATTCGGCCATATTTTTTACAGACCTTGGCGAACCTTCTGAAGGAATATGCACTTGTGCGGTAACAGTAAGAACGTTCTTGTTTTGTATATCGGGAAGATCGTCAGATTTATCCGTTGAAGATTTTGTTGCTTCGTCAGTTTCGATAGGAAGATCAATCTTGGTATCTTTTTGAATTTCTACTTCTTTATCTTCTAAATCTTCAGATGTACCATCCGACGATTTCGTCGTATTGTCACTCTCAATGGGAAGATCAATTTGAACGTCTTTTTTAACGGTTTCTTCTTCATGTTCTTCATCTTCAGAATTATCTGTTGACATTTTTGTAACATTGTGACTCTCAATGGGAAGATCGATTTGAACCTCTTCTATAACAATAGGTTTTTTAACCGATTCTTCTTCATCTTCATCATCGTCAGAATTATCGGTTAAAATTCTTGTGGTATTGTGACTTTCAATGGAAAGATCAATTTGAACTTCTTTTATTTCAATGTTTTTTTTCGCAGTTTCCTCTTTATTTTCTTCTTCCTTATCTTCTATATCTTCAGGGATTGATTCTTCAACATAACTTAATGAAATTCTAGACTGTTCTTTACTACAAAGCACAATATCAGATTCTTCATTATCCTTTATCAAGCTTTCGTATAACTCATGCTCTTCAAATGAAGTATTTGTGCCTTGTTCAACTCTTTCACTGTCTCTACTACTAAGTGAATCTTCTTTCGATTTGCTATCGCTGCTAACTTCTTCCACGGGCTGTCTAGAATCTTCACTCGAATTGTTTTGGTCGTATCTTTTTCTCCTCGAATAAGTGACATCAGTGCTTCTTGAAGTTTCATCGCCACTGAAATTTCTATCGATGTTTTCTTCGAATGCGAAGTTCAAACTTTCTCCATCATCATCATAATCATCGATCGACGATGTAGTTGCGCTACGGCTACTGTTGCTTTCGCTCCCGCTGCTGATTTCGATGGTTTCGCATTCTTTTTCGTTATTTGTTTGAGTTTGGTTGTAAACAAACGCCTTATCAAAGTCTTCGTCTGTGGAATGACTGCCCGTTGATGATTCGCTTGTTGGAACATCTAAAAAATATACAACTTAATAATCCAGTAAAGTTAGTCCGATTTCTATGGGTATTATTGCAATTCATTGGGTAGGATGTTTTTTGCGATCGTTATGGTTTTATATAGGAAGCTTAAATTCCAGTTTTCGCCCATTTAGCCTACACAAGGAGTCCGAACTTAATAGGGGAAGTTGACAAAACCTGCACAAATAAGGTCTTCATTTTTCATCTTTTCATTTTTTCAATTGTATTATACTTTTACTTGATGTGTATATCTGTACTTTTACTAGTAAATGCGTACTTTTGTTGTTAGTTGGTTTTTTGTTGGGTTGGTTGGTTTTGTGGGTTGGGTTGGTTAGTTTTAATTTATGTACACTTTTGCTATGTTTGTGGCGTTAATGTATACATCCACTAGTTAGTAAGTAAGTTACTGCGCTTTTGAATAGATTTACGTATTGCATACATTAGCTAGTCATTGTATACATTTACGGAATTTACACATTGACTGTAACATATACTCTGACTAGCTTATGTATACAATAACTGATTTTGATACATAAATGTATTCAGAAGCGCATTAACTTATTAACTTACTAGTAGATGTATACATTGACGCCACAAAAGTAGCAAAAGTGTACATAAACTAAAAATAACCAACCCAACCCACAAAACTAACCAACTCAGAAACTAAACCAACTCAATATTTAGTATACCTTGACTGTGACTTATACAGTATACAGAATTTACACATTGACTGTTACAGTTACATATACATGAAGTTCAGACTTCTTGTGTAGGCTTCATGAGTAACCCCTTGCAGCTTTTCCGCCAACTTGGATTAAGGGGTATTTTTGATTGACTAAACAATTTTTAACCACCTTAATTCTTACTTAAAAAATGCAAAAATATTAGGTATACAAATTTGTAGAACTCATTTTTCTTGTCAAAAATGGTATCAGCTGATTTTCGATAAAATAAGAATACGGCTGTTATTCGCAAATTTACCCCTAGGGTTGGAAGAAAATTCGAATTTAAGCTTCCTATATGGTACCCTAACGATCACAAAATGGTTATTTAACTAACTAGTGCGGAAAGTGCCACTTTTCCAAACGCGAATGGTAATTACAATATTTCTTTTCTACAAGCAAGGGAATCTCGAAATTTTGTTCATCATTTTCATTTGTAGAAAATAGTATATTATTATACGAGAGATAATGCAGGCTATTATTCACAAGGATGAGGTTTGCATCTTGAGCCGTCAGGCGAGAGACGTAAATCATCCGAGTAAATAATGCGCATTATTTCGAGTGTAATACTATGCTTTTTATACTCCAATTAAGTAATTTTCATTGAAAACAAAATTTATTATAACTACAATTTTTACCGATTTTAAAGATCATTATAGTCGCCTCTCGTATATATAAACAAATCTGACATCTGTTAACCTTACTTTTTTCCAATTTAAAACCCGATTGGTTCAAATAACAGTGAATATTGAAATCACTGATACCTAATAATGAGTTTAATATTTCCTTTGTTAAGCCGGTCGGTTATATTGATTACAATTATTTACGAAAAAAAAAAACAAATAATGTCAATAATATTCAATAGGAGTGGAAAAAAATTTCTTTTATCTACGCCAGTGAGATAAGAACTTCTTATCCCACTCATTTTGAGTGAGATAAGAAGTTCATTAACGCACGCGTTTTTCTCTGTTTTTAACCAATCAAATAAAAAAGTCAAAATGTCAAAATAACCCTAAATTAAGTCTTAGACAAAAATAATTACCGTTTATTTTTTCATTTAGAGGCGTAGATAAAAATTTGTACAATATACGTGTGATAACGCTTTATTAACGTACTTTTGCGATTGCCCAACTCGTGCTACGCACTCGTTGGGCAAATTTCGCATGCGTACGTTAATAAAGCTCTTATCCCACTTATATCGTAAATAACTATTACAAGCATGCGGAAAGTTGCTACTTTACGCACGCATAACCGTTAGGAAAGTTGCACTTGACAGAAAAAATATTTTTTCTACAAATGGAAACTTGCAAAATTCTCTTGCTTGTAGTTAAATTAAAATATTGTACCTAGGTAAATAACTATTTTCTACAAGCGTGCGGAAAGTAGCAACTTTCTGCACTCTTGTAGAATAACAATTTTTCCTACTCAAAAAATTGCCCAAATATAACAGGTGGCGCAAAAAAAACATTTTATAGAGTGCCCTCTATATACAATGTTATTGTTTCTTTGTCACAAATAAAGTATTTTATTATTATTTATGTATTTAAAAATAGCTAAAATTAGTTACAAATTAGTTTTTCAGTACTAAATAACATTTATCATTTAATTAAAAATTCTTTAAATTCTCTTCAAAACCAAATAAAATATCATTAGTATAAAATGGTGTTTTAAAAATATTGCGTCACTGTACATTCCACCAAACAAAAATTATCTGAAGAAATAATTTATTTGCAAACATAATACATAGCAACACTAAAACTTACTGGTTTTTTCGAGTTCTTTGAAATCTTCCATTGCGGCGATATTGTGAGGATCTACAGTCGACATTTCTGCGTAAACCTGAGAACTTTCTTCGGGAATTTCTTCGAATAAATTATCGTTAACGTTTTCGTCTAGATTATCGTAAACGTAATCGCAATCGACTTCCATTGGTTCGGTATTATCAGACTTGCTTTTTTCTATGGTTGTGTCATTTATAGTTATAGCATTTTCGAGGTGTTCGAGGTAGTTCAGTTCGGCATCTGAAGCATCGGATTTTTTCCTGGTGTATCTACCGACTAATCTATTGGCGAACTCAGGGTTATCGTAGGTGTTATTGTCCAAACTAGCTTCGCTATGATCGGATTCTTCCGGTTTATCTTCAAGTACGGTGATAGAGTCAAAGTCTACATTTATTTTGCTTGTTCCAGGAGTTTGTGGGTCTAAAGTTTTCCTGATGATTTTATCTTGTTTTAAAGTTTCATTCGCCTCGAATTTCTTGCTGGTTTCTTGGTTCTCTGTTGTTTCTTCCTCGTGGGTTTGCGTCTTTGTTTCTTTCACACTTACTTCTGTACTCTCTAGTGACTTTTTGGTAACTGTGATAACTTCCTTAGACGATACGTCTTTGGTAATACTCCTTCTGATACTAACAACATCAGAAGCCGGCAATAATTTTGATGCGTTGTGCTCTAGAACTTGCCTGCTTAGTGATTTTCTACCTCGTAACTTTTGTGCAGCTTTTGGGGAGGACTGAGGTTCACTGGATGTGTCACTCTTTTCCGATGTTTCTGGTGTTTTCTGGTGATCTTGTAAAACAGAAAATTTTAGTCTTGGCGACGATCTCACTGGAGACGACTCTTGGAAGGGACGTTTGTAGCTACTTCTACCTCTTGGTGATTCCCCTGCCTCCATTTTATCTGGAGACGTCCCCTTAACTTCCGTCTCATTGGAGGTGGTTTCCGTTACTTTTACGGTTTCCAGGGGCTCTCCCTGAGGTTTATCCATGACTTCGACAGTCCCCTCCATCATCTCCATCACTTTACTGTCATCAGTTTTCGTTGAATCGTTCACCGACGCATCAGGGGAATAGAAAACTTCCGAGGAAGTATCTTTGGACGATAATGAGGATCTTTGCATGGCGCTGTGTTCTAGAAGACTAGGTCTTGCAGTGCTTTCAATCCTTAATGATGTATTATCCAATGATGATTTATCCTTGCTTGTATCGCTGAACGATGTGGAATATCTTGCAACATCGAATCTAACTATTGGAGTTCTTGATATTGACTGTCTACCAGAGACACCAAGCGCCGATTTCTGCAACTAAGTTTTAAAAATATAACAAAAAATCAAAAACCAGTTGCGAATATTGTACCTTTGAATTATCCCTTATAACACTAAACTGAGCGGTGTTGTCTTCAAAAGTATTATCAAGATTGGTATCGTTATTCATAACCAAATTCTTGACCTTGAGAATGCTGTGCGGTGTACAAATATCGAATTTCTCTGACAATTTTTGGCAATCGGATATTTTCCTGCAAACCAGCGGCGTTGCCATTTTATTTTGCACTAATGGACTGGTTATGTTAAAATTAGAAGGAGCAGCAGCGGCATTTCTTGGACTTAATCTCATCTTCTTTGGGGGTGTAGCCTCAAAATCATCATCTATAATTACAGGTGAAATTACGTGGGTTTGGCGTCTGAAATTTTGATCATTAATTAAAGTATTTTATAAATTATTTAAGGTGTGAACCTTTTGCAGTCAGGGAGGGCTTTGGGGGTCCTTAAAAATGGCGTTTCCTCTGTTGTCAGATCTCTGAAATGCATGCTGTTGCCAGTTTCGTTAAATGTTTGTTTTGCTTTTGCTAACGCGGCGTGTATTACAGTGGATTTATATTTCACTTGTTCTTTGGCGTTGTGAACAAAAACTGATAAAGGAGTCGGTCTTTCTACTAAAAAAAAGTAATACAATTACAGATGCAAAATCACTGGAAAACAACTTTATATATACCTTCTTTCCAAAGATTGGTTCTCTCATTTCTTATCACATCCAGCAAATTCTTGTTAACATTGGGCAAAAGATTTTTGAAAAATCTCACCAAATTATCGGTTCTAGTGGAATTTCTTTGACCCACAAGACCTTGAGTTTCGGGTTTCATGCGTTTGGAATTTTGGTGTATATCGAAAGCTTCGATGAATCGCGATCTAAGCAAAAAATAGAAAACTTGCAGGTCATCCGTACTGGGGTCCCTTATAGTTTGTAGGTATTTGAAGAACGCTTTTTCTTCTTTCGTGTCCAAGAAGCGGTATAGCAGGGATTTTAGCGTTTCATTTTTATTGCACTCTAAAATTAAATGTTTAGAATGGTAATTTTAAAAACAAAGATTTGTTTTTACCGTTAAAAAGATGGGCAAGTAGTTTATCGTCATTATTGTTTTGGTATTGTTTTTGGAAGTAAAATGCCTCATCCAGCATGTTATTTGCAATAAACAAACTAATGGCGGTTACTACATCTTTTTCGTTCAAAATTGGAGGTTTTCTTACCTACAACATTTTTTACGATTTATAAGTTATTTTAACACCTTAAAAATGTAATCAGGAAACCTTAAAAATAATTATTAAAAATTCAACTGTATACCCATAATATAATGTTCTTGTTTATACCCATTACAGGGTGTATATAAATGGAGCGCTGACGCCATACCACGCGATATAAGAGTGCACATAAGAGTGTCTGCAATTAATTTTTAACGGGCACGTCAGTGGAGTAATGGATGAACAAAACTTATTGTTAAGGTATTATAAGTTTTGTTTAATATAAACATATAAATTTGAAACGCTTGAAAAAAAAATAGTACATATAACACGGCGCGCCGCCGCAGCGAAAGCTTATTAATTGCCTCGCACACAATCTACTGCCTCGCCTAGCGCCTTGGCAATGATATGTATGCTTGGCTATGGCCTGGTCTATAATGTACTATTTTTTCTGCAGAATTTGTTAATAATACATCTATCAACCGCGGTAGCTCCAGCTGTTATATACATATAAATATTTACATTGTTGTCCAGTTTCATAAATTTTACTGTGTTTTTAAACTGAAATGCTCATTAACTTTGAAACAACCAGTTGCTATGCAAAAAATAATTGTCAATGTTGACGTTTCTAATTTTAAAATAAAACAGTCAAAAAACATGCGTTTTGGTCAAAAAAATCATACAGAAATTGAATCGGCACTTGCCGAATAGCATTCGTGATAAAATTTTTCCTGAAATTTTTTTTTATTTTTATTTACCCAAGATTTTTCTTGAAAATGTTATCGGTAACATTTTACCGACATTTTACTAGTGGTATTATATACGATAAAATGTTTTGATAAAAGTTAAAACCACGGTCTTATACAGGGTATCTCAAAATCACCGGACCAAACGAAATGGGTCTATACCTTGCGAAATTTCCTTTACCATATTTTTTTAATTCGCAAAATTGCAGGGCTCCCCTATAGAGCAGAGACACTGCGCTCACATTGGCGGTCTTAAAAATTCAACTCCTGCAACTTTGCAAAAAATGGTAAAGGAAATTTTGTCATAGATTTGCGAAAGGAATCGACCTCTTTCGTTTGGTCCGGTGATTTTGGGACACCCTGTAGAGTTGCAAGACTTGGGATGGATTTTTCTTTAAAATGTCTGAATGCATTGGGGGGCCCCCTTATGATCTCTTTACACCCCCTAAGGAGGAGTGCCAGGTTGGGAATAAACTATGTTTTGTCAAATGAAAAAGTGTAAGCTAATTTTCAAATCTCATCTGCTAATTGGTTAACAAAATAAGACAAAAGGATGGTAAAATCGTGCAAAATTTGCAAGCAACCTTTAACAAAGTCCATTTTAGATGTAAGTAACTTACATGACGGTTACAGAGCTTTGGCATGATTCAAATTAATTACTTCACGACACAAATCCACGTAAATTATGTATTAAAAATAGCATTACATTTTTAAAAACAAAACCAAATATGTAGGTCACAAGGTTTGTTCTATCTCGTTTCGCGCATGCTAAAAATCACTGCAACACTGCTCAGACTCGAACGGCGGCCATTTTTATGTTGTTTATAATTCCTGTGCTTTGGGTTTGTGCTGTATTCTGATTAAAAATCATTTTAATCGTTGTGTTTCTTACAGAAGCACTTGTAAGCCTCAAGTGAGGCCTTAAAGTCCTAAGAACAACCATTTTACTCCTCTTTTGTATAAAATTCTATGAGGGCTGTCATCAAACTGTCAAATATCAATTTTTAGGTTAATTTGTGGGTTAAGGTAAATTGACCTTAAAATTGAAATTTGACAATGAATTGTAAACATAAAAATGGCCGCCGTTCAGTGTTGCAAGTCTGTGGGTAAAAGGCATACAAGCGTCTAGCGCCAGGGCCGGCTACTTTTCGCAGACATTTAATTTAGGGTTTATTATAATAATCTAAGTAAAGAATTACTTCTTGCGAAGCTATGAAACCAACCCAAACTCAACAACTCGACCCAACCGACCCCGCCCCATTGGCCCCCCCCGCCCAATTTTTCAAAAACATATAATTACATATTATATTATATAACTGTAGAAAAATGATTAGGAAAGGTAAATAATTTAAAATATTAATGTAAAATTAAATATTAATCCTTTTCGCTATATAAATAAAAATAAAAAAAAAGTTGTAGGCGCTAAGAATCGAACCTGGTATCTCTCGCATACAAAGCGGGCGCTCTTCCATCGGAGCTACCGAGCTTATTGAATAATTCCTATTGTTTTGTAAATAATACCAGTTTACAGTGTGTGACGAGTGAATCATGTCTGCGAAAAGTAGCCGGCTCTGGAACTAGACGCTAATAAAAGGCATAAGGGGATAAGTCAAAAAAAGCAATTTTTCAATAGAGCCTTTAACATGTTCGCATTAATTCAGGAACTATATTTATGTTTAGCGGGTATACGCTTTTGTTAGCATATGACATGTGCTAACAAAAGGGTATACCCGCTAACCATAAATATGTTTCCTGAATTAATGCGAATACGTTGCGTCTATATCCCAAACCTATTCCCTGTCATTTTGGTTATGCAGGTACACTGAATTGTGTCATACCAAACTAACCCAAACTTAACAACCCAACTCAACTGACCCCGCCCCATTAGGCCCCTCCCGCCCCATTGTCACAATCCAGCCTGCACTTAGATATATTATACCTCTATTGCTCAATGGGGCGGGAGGGGCCCAATGGGGCGGGGTCGGTTGGGTTGGGTTGTTAAGTTTGGGTTGGTTTGGTATGGCACAACGCAGTGTACCTGCATAACTTTTTACTTTGAAATTTGTTAAAGAAACACTTGATGACAAACTACGGAACGCATTTGACAGGGAATAGGTTTGGGATATAGACGCAAGCACAGACCACCAAAACAAATATACGGCGCATTGCCATTCAATAACAATACTTTGTTTGCGGTCAACAAACGGTCACAGTCTAAGCGTCAAATTGGAGATAGAATTTTATGTTTTCTTCCAGTGACGTCAACAAACGGTCACAGTCTAAGCGTTAAATTGGCGATAGAATTTTATGTTTTCTTCCAGTTACGTATTGGGATTAAAAAAATAATAAGTAGGTAGGTACTTACAAACGATATTTCCATGTATTGTTATTTTTAGTAAAAAATAATGTATTTAAACTCCATAATTAACCTAAACACGATAGAAATACACAAACGAAAACACAAAACAACAAGCTGTCAACCCACAGAACATAACCTTTTTCTATGCTGTCAAATATGACGAATTTACCAACGTTGTTAATATTTAATTTTAATAATTATTAAATGATTTACTTTCTTTAAATAGAGAAAAATATCTAAAGAAAATGATGAACAAATCCTTTTTACAATTTTTTTATTATTCAAACGAATTACTGGTAATTATTAATGTTCATTATGTTATGATGAACGTCCAAAAAGGCGTGTAATCTATACTTCTGACAACGTTGGAAGCCGTGTTTCTTTCGACGGTGTTTAGAATGTGAAACTATGCTTTACTCGCTTTTTAAACGTAAACAAATCCGTCCATTTGTTTTGGTGGTCTGTGGACGCAAGTCTAAAAAATTGCTTTTCTCGATTTTTATGTAAGAATGTCATATTCTCGCACGCAAAATCGTTGAAGAATGAAGCTCATTCTTAAACGATTTTTGGTAACATTTAGTTTTTAAGTATTGGTACCCCCAAAATGTCAAACTGATTAATAACCTCAAATTCATTACTTTTATTGAAAATGAAGCCTTTATTATTGTTTTGTAATATAAAGTTTGCTCCAACAATGCATTTTAATGCAAAATTTTAAGTTTAATGTGTAAAAGTGCAGTTCAGGTTGTACTTGTGCAGGATAACAAATATTGTCATTTTGTGTTGCCAACTGACATTTTGCGAGAAAAATCCCCTAACTAACAACGACCACAAAACAATTAAAAAAACCTAAATAAAAGTTAAAATCGAGAAAATAGTATAAATCACACGTTGCAGAAGGCTATTCTCGCACTCATTCGTTCGTCCACTCGCTCCTTCGTCGCTCGAGGCCAAATTTCGAATTCGTGCGAGAATATGTGGCCTTCTGCAACTTGTACTTTAATATACTATTTTTGACTTATCACCTTATGCCTTTTACCCACAGAAGTAGTATGCGCGAAACGAGATAGATAGACCTTGATATGTGGATTGTGATGTAGGTTATGTTTATGTAGTACTTAATTTCACCGTTTGTATCAATAGTTGTATTTTCTTATTAAAATTCGGCTAAGTTACAACTTGTAACTTAGCCGAATTTTAATAAGAAAATACAACTATTGATACAAACGGTGAAATTAAGTACTACATAAACATAACCTACATCACAATCCACACATCAAGGTCTATCTATCTCGTAACTTACAAGACCTGTGGTTACAACCATTATGGTAGAGGAAGGGTAAAACGTGAATAAAAAAGGTATAAATATTAGTTAAAATCACAGATAATTCTTGGTTAAAAAAAATCTTACCTGCATGTAAAGCAAGGCATAATGATGTTGGTTCTGCAATAATAAGGTATTTAAAGCACAAGCGTGATGCCAATTTTGTAAATCGTCACCCAAAACAAAGGGGTCTAATAACTGCTCCATTGCCGTCTAAAAATCATAAAATAAATACTTAAAATAGATTTATATTTTCTTTCTTACTGTATAATCTCCGTGGTCCAATTGCCAAAACGCCTGCGTGATTTTAATCAGACTCGGACTCACTTTGAAAACGGCCGGAAATTTGATCAGATGCGTAATCACGGGATCGTACCTTTCTTGTTCTAGCGCCATCGCCAAGTCCAAGAACACGTAAATAACAAGAGAATGCTTGTAGCTAATGTCCGGTCCTTCTATCAAGTAGGTTCTGAGGAGAGATTGTAGCGAGGGAGGCGGGTAAAGACCGCTACCGCCGTCTCCTTGCCAGAATTTTTGGAGGCGTTCTGCACCGCATCTGTGTTCTATTAAATTGTCGATGAAGAGGAGGTTGTCGGGGTTGGCGAATGATCCATCGCTTAAGTTTTGCAACAAGGCGCGTCTAAAAACAATATTGTCAATAAAAAAATACATGTGGGCTTAGATCACTAGCCAGAGTGTTTCTGATCTCTGTTTAAAAAGTCACATAGAGGCCCTGTTCAAACGGAGATTTTTGTATCGGAATGTATGGTTTTCCTATAGTGTGTAGGTATAAATAGGACCCATAGTTGGGATTTATGGTTGTTCTATAGGGAATTTATTTGAATTCAGTCTCAATAGGGAAAATACACAGAAGTTAGTTTTTCTCCCATAGGACCCCATAGGTTTTAACAAAATTTTGTCAAATGTTTTATGGTTGCTTTATAGGGATATCCCTATATATCCCTTCTTGAATTATTTGCTATGTCTCAATTCCGAAAAACTATTTATTTTTAAATTAGTTTTTATAGGTAGTACCTAAATTTAATTTTAAATACTAAACAAATCAAATACATATGTAATCAAAGTTCGGTTGTACTCGGTTTGGGATACATGATACGAAGAATCGTGGCATTTGTTGTTCTTTTCATAAAGGTTTTTGTTCCAAAATTTGTGGCTTAACTTCATTGTTATAGGTAATTTCATATATAATAATAATGGCAGTGTATGAAAGTATAACATTGATACAGTCATCTGTGACTGGCGAAGTGTGTAATAGTCTATTACTAATAGAACAAACGAAAACATGGTGTTACTATCGTTATTTACCTATATAAATCATATAGGGCTGTATCGGGATTTATAGAAATTCAGGAGTTTTTGGGTCATGTTATTTTTATCCGAAAACCCCTTAAAAAGTTCAATAGGGCTCTATCGGCATGTATGGGTCAGGAGGCAATTCCCTATAGAACCATATTGATAGCGTATAGGAAATTTCCGTATTCGCAAAAAGCATGGACAAATGCACATATTGAATCCGGTAGCTCCCGATAGATTACACTGTAGGTAAATTTCAAACTTTTAAAAAGACACATAAAAACGCCGGGACACGCAAACCTAATTTTTGTGTGTAGAATTTAGAGGTGCAATCCGTTTTTTAAAGTTAGCTCGTTTTCTCAAGATATTAATTATTTAAGTTTTTTGTTTTACCATTTTGCTATATTTTTAAAGAAAAATATAGCATAACTCGTTTTAAAATGTCTGTATTTATTTTTAATTCATAAATTTTTTTCTCTTAAATTAATAACATTCGTGTTTAAGCCGATATTATTAATATTTTTTTAATTACATTAAATTTTTCGCATAATTCTTTTTTTGTAATTAAATTTGTTTTGGTAAATTTTATTGTCTGGTATTAGTGGGAAATATTCGAATTTAATAAAATTTGAGAATTTCATTTTCTAGTAAATAGACTAAGTACAGCCTGTATAAATGTTGTTTTTAGTTTTTACAATTGAAATAATTCTTTGCTACAAAGTTTTGTGGTTAAGTAAGTATAAATATGTAGCTAAAAATTTTGCATGCTCATTTTGATTTTTATGAAAAACAACTTTCAACCAAAGCTGGTGAACGATTTCATCAAACCATTATGACATTTGAAGATCAGTTTTCTGGCAAAAAATTCGACTCAATGCTTGCTGATTTTTGTTGGTCAATCTTCAAAGAGGCATAAAATTAAACATTCTTTACAACTTGTTATTTAAGTAGTTTTTTTATTTTTAAAAAAGTTTATTATTGATAAATAATAATTTTTTAGAAATAAATAAATTTTAATAGATTTTAAAATTGGAATTGGCCAAAAACGTTAATTACAAATAAATAAAATAAATAAAGATATTTTAAGAGGGATTATAGTGTCTTAATATTTATATATATACACATATTTAGCAAAATAACAAATAAAAAAATATTTAAACACAAAATTTCAAATATCTTGAGAAAACGACCTAATTTTAAGCAGGGCTGCCAGGGTCATGATCTTCATAGCCAGGGATCATATGATTAAAGCTAATACAAGTATTTATGTATATGGGTTGGGATGTAACTTTTAAACCCTTTGATTTGACTGAAATTTTGATATCCTTAGTATTACCACACCAAAATTTAAAAAAAATGGTGCTGACTGACTTATCAAGACGTTTTTTTGGTTTTTAAACTTTTAAACCTACATCCGCCATTTTTTTAATAGTGGTTAAACTTAAAAAAAAAAAATTTGCAAACTAACTTTGTTTTTAGAATAGAATAAATCTAAATAAATATACAAAAATAGAAAGAAAAGTTAGTCCACTATGGGATTTGGGTAATTAAACGCCTCGTGAAACGCAAAATAAAACAAATTTGCGCCCATCCACCGACACTAGGGTGAGCCAAAAAAACTAACCTATCGGATTTATGGGTTAAAATGAACCTACATACCGAGCAAAAAATTTCCCTGCAAGGTAAAATTTTTTGCTCAATTTTAAAAGGTGTCGGTGAGCATTCTAAGTTTTCCATTGAAATAACACGTAAAAAAATCTTTCTCGATTTTTATGTAAGAATGTCATATTCTCGCACGCAAAATCGTTGAAGAATGAAGCTCATTCTTAAACGATTTTTGGTAACATTTAGTTTTTAAGTATTGGTACCCCCAAAATGTCAAACTGTTTAATAACCTCAAATTAATTACTTTTAGGATTATTTATAATAGCTTTGTTTGTTATCCTGCACTAGTGCAACCTGAACTACACTTTTATTGAAAATGAAGCCTTTATTATTGTTTTGTTATATTAAGTTTGCTCCAACAATGCATTTTAATGCAAAATTAATTAAGTTTAATGTGAAAAAGTGCAGTTCAGTGGTACTTGTGCAGGATAACAACTATTGACAAATAAATGAGCCAGACATGTCAATCAAACTATATTTTATTGGAAATATTATATACCCACAGTACACAAAACACAAAACTACTATAAATTAATCACTAGCACAATTGTTATAAACTTTTATTGTAATGTTCAGTGTTGCTTGTAAAACCTCCTGTGACATTTTTTACTGCTAAAAGTAAACACAATTGTTCAAAAATATCAGAAAACATTAAAAAATAATACAATACTTACACAAAACCTTATTATCCAGTTGACAAATACAGACAGATTATAATAATTATTAATAAATAGTAAATAAAAATAAATCTACCTGTCCATGCAACTGTCATTTTGTGTTGCCAACTGACATTTTGCGAGAAAAATCCCCCAACTAACAACGACCACAAAACATTTAAAAAAACCTAAATAAAAGTTAAAATCGAGAAAATAGTATAAATCACACGTTGCAGAAGGCTATTCTCGCACTCATTCGTTCGTCCACTCGCTCCTTCGTCGCTCGAGGCCAAATTTCGAATTCGTGCGAGAATATGTGGCCTTCTGCAACTTGTACTTTAATATACTATTACAAAACTGCGCCGAAATCTACCTGTTATTTTTTTACAATTTAAATGCAAAAATGTAAGATTGAAAAAATAGTTGTTTCTTTACTTACTTTTCATTATAATAGTTGGTTAACTGTTCCACTGGATATGGAGCACTTATTCTTTCATTTTGATCAGGTTTAGGATAAGATGATGGTGGGCATTCAGGCAACAATCCAACATTTACCAACCACTGGAGAACTTCAAAATAAACCGAAACCATTTGAAGACTTCTATACTGATCAGAAACAAGTTCTAACAAAAAGAAAATTGAATTTACCAATCTTAAAAACACTCTGTATATTACTCACCTTGATTGCTTATATAACAAGACAATCTACTAATGAGAAAGGAATAAAATGTGCAAAGATTATCGATTTGTCTTGTGCAATTGTTCAACAATTTGCATGTGTTACTATCCAGTCTAGCTTGCGAGTAATCGAATAGGGGCACGCAATATTTATCGCACTGATTTTTAAGTAATACGGCTCTTTGAAACGCCCAGTGTACAAGCCCATCCAAAGAGCAACCTGCGTGCGCAAAACTGCCGTTAGCCCATTCTTTGGCGCAGCTGCACAACCAGCCCACCAGCTGCTGTTCCAGGGCTACGTTTAGGACTACTTCGCGTTGGAGATCCTACAAAATAGCAATATAATGATTTTGTTGTAATTTCAAATATGCAGTAACTACTGTTGATATTGGCGTGTTCATGGGTACATCAACGAAAAGAGGGGATAATCCTAACATCACTATTTGCTGATAGATGTCAGCAGGTCTTAGGAGTCCTATAGGCCCTGCGTTTTCGATTTGGCAAAGTAAAGTTTTCTGTAATCCTTGAGCGTTTATATGAGCAACATCGACTTCACGCAAACACAAAACATCTATAAGAATACTCGTAAATATAACACAAAAACAATTAGTTTTTTTCATACCATAGCTCAATGAAGTTGGATAAAAATGCTCCTCAAGCCTCTGAGTGCCGACAAATTCCCTCAAGCTCTTCTTATTCATTCTAGAGCTCATAACACTACCACCCTTGTAAATAGAAAGTTTCAAGACGTGTGACAAATTCGTGCGGGTCATGTAGGTCGCGCATGCGCTTAACTTGGGCACGCTAGGCATTTGTTCTTTGTACCACTGATTCAAATCAAAGACTAGAAAGTTGGTCTGGGTTTCTTTGTTGCTAAACCACACCGTCCAACATATTGTGCATAGGGCTAGAGAATCTTCTAGGTTGTCCAATGAGCTGTGGTTTGCCACCATTTTTTGTTGGATGGATTGTAAGCCCAGGCAATAGCCGCCTTTGAGTTTTAGATTGTTTTCGTCTACCGAGCCTAGTTCTACTTGAAATCTGACACCGCAGTTTTGAAAGTCCTTTAAAAAAATAGAAATAACGTTTTGGTCCAGGATTTTTAAGGTAGTTAAATCAAGTTTCACTACTTAAGGTGAACTTTTATTTTATTTAATTATCAATATTTTTTTAATTTTATGATAGTTATAAACTTCGCATGGTCGGGAAGTGACATGTAACAGTACTATTAAGAAATTCGGGACGAAGCCGCGAAGGAGTATTAAATACATAATTGTGTATAGGTATACATATAGTTATTTTTTTTAAATTTAATTAGCCCTTTTTTATTTTTATCCTTTTTACGACCATGTCTCGCTTTACATTGCTAGCGGAAAGTTTACCATGTAATTTCTTACCTGATACAAATAGCCATAACCCTCCTGATAATCCTTGTTCTCGTAGCAAAACGAGTACATGACGGCAAAAGGCAGCCCGCTCTGATACAACCCAATATTACTGTAAACCGCCCAAACGTAACAAAAGGCTCGCGGGTCATTGTCAGGTTCCTGTACGCAGAACTGCGTGATGGGCATGTGCTCCTCGCACACGGGCGACGTATAGACCAATAGGAGGTCTGAGAGGTTCCATAGTTGGAACGCGCCGAAGTTGTAGCCAACTAGGAGGGAGGTAAGCTGCGGGCAGTAGAAGACGGCGCTGGTGGCGACCTCGTCTTTGTTTACGTGGATGCGGTCGTCGCCCTCTTGGCCGCGCAGAGTGAAGTGCTCGGTTTTACTGTCTGTTACCACTACAAGGATAAAAACAAAATATAAAGTGGTGTTCTAAAAGATTTTAGATATAATAAAAAATACTTTATTTTGTAATTTTCTATAAAAGAATTATAAGTATAGAAGAGCGTAAAACAAAATAAAAAAGGCAAAATGGGGTAGTTAAATTTTTTCTGACCTATACTTTTATGGTTTTATTCAAGGCGTTTTGTAATATTAAACATTTCTGTGAAATCAGAATTTCAATTGAGTTTACCGTTTTCGAGATATTTACAAAAAATATAAATTTTTATGACATCACAAACCTCGCCATGTGACCAACATTCTAAGATTTCTATTGGTTGAAAATTACCCTGTTGTCAAGTTGTCTTGTTAATGATTTCATTCGGTTATGTCAGAAAATACCCGAAGAGGTTATGTACAAATACTGTCACTGTCAGTTGAGTGAAAGATGGTCACCAAATTCATTAAGTACCTATCTTCCTTATTACGAGGTATCATATTACTGTTTGATATTTTAGAGTCCAAGATATATCAAAAAGAATATAAAGAACTAGGCATTATACTAATGAAATGCATTTACGACAAAATATGATTATAATTATAGGTACTTACTTTATTTGTTTAAAAGCTCTAATGTTCTATGTAACCAACCATTCCACAAGATTCATCTGCTTTGGAGTCCGTTATTAATAAATCACTTATCTAATATCAATTACAAATAACATAACAATAACATTGATTTTTAATAATCTAAATTTAAAAAAAAACAACCCGAAAAAAAGAAACGTCAAAAAATCAATTCTTCTTCTTCTCAACTAAAATTTAGATCAAGTGGTTTTAAAACTAAAATATTATAACGTGGCGCCATCTATCGTAAGATTCTTAAACTAAACACACTGGCAACCATAGAAAAAGCTGGCAACGTTGTCAATAGCCTAGTGACGTAATTAGGAGATTTTTTTTGTAAATATCTCGAAAACGGTAAAATCAATTGAAATTCCGATTTCACAGAAATGTTTAAAATTACAAAACGCCTTGAATAAAACCATAAAAAGTATAGGTCAGAAAAAATTTAACTACCCCATTACTAAAAACTAAAATAGGTTTTACAATCAATAGGAATATAAAATTAATTAATTTAATTTGGATTTTTCAAGAAAAAAAATTCAAAAATAAGATGTCATCAGCTATCAAATTTTTTTATTGGTACTAACGGTTTTTTACAGACTAGGATGTAAAAAACTTCACCTGATTGGTCTAAATTATTGTACATCCATCGAAAACTTTGGTAGTGTTTGTTGACAATAATAAAGCTTAAATTATAGAACGCTTGAAGATAATAGTATATTATGTATCAAGTTTTATAAATGCCATTTTAGTTACGAGTTTTATTAGGCACGAGCGAAGCTTGCAAGCGAGTGTTTAATAAAAACGAGTGTCTAGAGAAGTTTATAAAACGAGTTGCATACTATACTTTATCTACGACGCACACGAAGAAGAATTTAAAGCCAATTTTATTTGTTAAACTTTTGACATCTGTCAACCTTTAACGGATTTAACCTCACTTTTCCCTAATTTATAATAAAGCTAACTTCAGCCAGTATTTTATTATTATGTAATTTGTGATATTAAATTAGTTTATCTTCAAGGGTTCTATAATTTAAGCTTTATTATTGTCAACGCTCACTACCAAAGTCACGGGCGGATCCAAGTACCTACATGATAAAAATATATTCTAAAAGAAAGAATCACAGAAATTTTAGAAACATGAGTGTTTAAGAAATTTTCTTTAGTATCTACAAAATTAATTATTAAAATATCCAAAACCATAATTAAATAAATAAAATTCCATAATTCAATAAAACAGTTTAATTAATTAGATTTAGAAGATCAAGAAGTTTGTGTACCTACTTATAAATCTAATTATTTTTTGTCAAAAACAAATAAAATAAATACTACAACCTAAAAGAAACTAAAAATAAGCCGAAGTCTCATTTTGATAGTTTAAAAAGGATGATTTATTATTATAATGAATCTATAATATAAAATTCATAATTTGAATTCTTTTCTGAATTCGCAAAACGGTTTATTACATTTTCAACGTTAATATTAAAAATGAATATGTAAGAGTCTTTCTTGCGTCATCCGGTTTCTTTTAAGGCGTCTTAAGGCTAAAAAAATAACATGCAAGAGCCCGGGGAGGGGGGCAATTGCACCCATTGCCCCCTTGGATCCGCGTATGATTAAAGTATTAATTAAATTATTCCTAGGCTGTAAAAATAATTTAGACCAATCAGGTCAAGTTTTTTAAATCTTATTCTGTAAAAAACCGTTAGGACCCATCAAAATATTTGATAACTGATGACAGCTCTACGCTATCTAACCCCACTTTATACTTTTAATAATTGTTACTATAATTGTAAGCACCTTTCATGTATTGTTGAACAAATAAAACTGTGCCTTAAAGATAAATGTTGTATGCCATTAAGCTGAGACGTGTCTTTTTGTGCCTCGCCAATCTTTGAGTTCAGCAAAGAAAGAGACTTACCTACTTCTCAGCCTTATGAAATAAATAACTATTATTCGTCCCAAGAAAACAATTACAAATCGTTTATAGAGAAACACCTATATACACATGATACAATTATATTTATATACATATTATAAGTTTTTTGGACCCCCGCATTTTTTTTTTAAATATTTTGAAGATATTCTTTAGATTAAAATAATGACTTACTGAGGATTGGAGCTCTTAATACTTTCCTAGTAATGATTTTTCGAATTTTGATAATGTTTTTTTAAACTTTTTCGTTAATTGATTTTTTATGTAAATAATGTATTATAAAAATCCAAACAATAATGTCTTTTTGTAAAAAAATATCTTTTCAATTCTTAGTAGCGGAAGACCCTCAAAAATGCTATTTTTCCAGAATATCAAATCTCAAATAAAGATTTGATTTTTTTTTTCTGAAAGCTAAGAATTTTTTACACAAAATATGTCATTTTCACGACGGACAGTGTTCGGAAAAGAGGAAAAAGCTGACCAAAATTAAAAAAATAAATGTTTTTTTTTTCGTAAAACCAAATACTGTATTCTATAAAAAACCTATTTCTGCACCAAATGCCAAAAAGATGTTACTATGTTTTATCCACTCGGGCTTTGAGAAAGCGAGTAAGAGGGCCTACCGCCATACCTGAGCGAGACGTTTTGAAAATAACTTCTGCAATTTTGCAAATTCGAAAAAATGGTAAAGGTAAACTTGTCTTGAAATTTTAAGAGGAATTAACTTTTACCCTTTGGGGCGCAAATTTTTTGATGCTGCAAATTTCGGGACTTCCTCATTCGCGGCATTAAAAGTTAAATAACTCCTGCAATTTTGCGAATTCGAAAAAAAGGAATAGGAAATTTTGTCTTAGATTTTCACAAGGAATCGACCCCTTTCATTTGGGAAACCTCGGAAACATAATATATATTATAACTTATCATAGCTTTGTTATTATTAATAAATTTTAACTTTCATTTTTAAAATCATTATTAGAAAATGGTTTTATTCAACTTTCAACACCTTATAATTAAAAAACTACTTAAACGGGATGCGACTGTGTACACGTGGTTGCAGCAAGAAAAAACCTTGGAAATTATTTTATATTCTTGTGTATTGAAGTTTTATTTTATTTTGCAGAGCAATTTTGTTCATAGGCTATCATCAGTGCCTTATTGAAAGTGTACAAGAGTAATTTTTATCAACGAATTATTATTAATTACTAATAGTAATTTACTATTCAACCAGTCAGAAGGCCACTAACACACACAACAAATAACATATTAGTATTAGTACAATTTTTGAAATAGAAATAAAAATTTGGCGGCACAACATCGCCAAATAACCTTGTCCAACCCTGCTCTGCAAAATATACAAAAAATTTCAATACACAAGAAAATGTTGTCGGGAACACAAAATTTTCTTGTTTTTGTTTTTTTTAATTACCTGTCAGAAAATGTTTGCCTGCATAATTTTCTCTTTAAATTTCCCTTTGTTAAATTATAAAACATGGACAACTTCTTTATTTATATTTATTTATTTATACAGGGAATCCCAAAAATTGCGCACTAACGGTATGCTGACGAAATGAATTTTATGTTGGTTATCTTATTTTTTTTAGGCTTATAGCCTCAGGCTATTTATTAATATGAAAAGTTAAAAGATGATTTTTAAAACAGGTTGCAAACATAAAAAGTAAAAATCCTGAAATGCAGGATAAAACATTAATTTCTAATGACCATTTATTAAACCATTTTTTAAAAATTATGTACCTAAAGCCTATTTTATACAGGGTGGTCCAGGAATAATCTGAAAAATTTTAATGATCGATAGAGCCTGAAAAAACAATAAAAACAAACCCAAAAACATTTTTCAAAAATACACACTAACACACTAATAGCCCTTCAAAGGCAAAAAACCGTTTTTTTTTAAATAACTTTTAAACCATTAAACCGATTCTGCTCAAATTTTGTGTAGTTAAAATTTCTTACAAAAGGCCCAGCGGCGGAGATTTTGGGGGGTTTCCCCTTTTTACCCCCATATTTCGACCCCACTGGATTTTATTGGAAAATCAACAGATTGTCAAACACATTTAATTTATTATGCCACGTTATCAGTTTAGCAACATCGAATATGCAGATAATCATTATGTGTATGGACTATGTGATGGAAATGCGCTAGCACCAGAGGTTTCAAGACTTTGAACTATGAAATAATAATGAACAAAATGTACGTGAACCGAGATTAAGACGACGGGATACTGAGAACTTTTCAAAATGATCCAGGGTTGACCTCCCGGAAAGCTGCTTTAAGACTGAATCCCTCAAAGTCAAATATTCTTCATGACGACCACCAAAAACCTTATCATTACCGCCCGGTTCAAAAAAGAAGAGCCCAATTTTGTTCGAAAAATTGTATGGCGCTCCAGCACATTCAAGTGTTCGAGTGCTGCAATGGTGCGACAAAAATTTCCCGCAATGTTAGATTGGGCGTTTTGGGCCAATCTCTTGGCCGGCGAGATCGCCTGACCTCAACCCGTTAGAATACTAGAATACTTAGAATAGAGAAGAATTAATAGACAGGATACGAGATTAATGTAACTACACTACAAGTTGCACGGGCTGTCCAATTCCTTCTACGGCGCTGTCAAATGTGTTTGGATTCTGGGGGAATGCATTTTGAAAGTCTGATATAATTTGCTACAAGCTACTGTTACTGTTATAATTTGTTACTAAGTTACCGATTCAAGATAAAAATAAACTAGCGTCTAGTCATCGTGCAGTTTACTAATCCCGTCATATTTTTAGGTTGTTTTATTGTAACGTTGATTGAGGATTACAATCAACGTTTGTAATTCATAATTATAATTTAACCTTTATACACAGTGTTTTTGAAATTTTAAACTAAAATATTTCGAAACCACTGATCTGATGAAAAATTAACACAAAAGTTTTGCTTTTACATTAAAAAAGGATATAATAAATCTGATAAATCCAGTGGCGTCGAAAATATGAAGGTAAAATGGAAAACCCCCCCAAAATCTCCGCCACTGGGCCTTTTGTAGAAAATTTTCTTTATATTATCGACCGAAGCTTAACCTACACAAAATTTGAAAAAAATCGGTTTAATGGTTTAAAAATTATTTTGAAGGACTATATAATAATAATAATAATAAATACATTTATTAACCCAAAAAACACAATGCGGTTTACAGAGGGAACTCTAATTAAATATACATATACCTAAATACAATATAAATTAAATATACATATAAATACAATAAAAAATATAGTCACCTATTAATTATTAAAACACAAATACATTCTGTACATATACACAATACATAAATTAGCTTGGCCTAAAGTGTTTTTTTATTACATTTATATTCAATAAATCATACTTTTTTACAAGTTCGTTATATTTATCGGCTCCTTTATACAAGATAGACGATTTTCCAAAATTGGAGGTAAAAGGATACAAATCTAATAAATTGTTGTTACGAGTATCATGAGCGTGTATGTTATTTCGGATTGTAAGAGTTAGATTGGAATGTTTTTTTTTGTTAAGATTATTAAAAATAAAGGCGGTTGCCTGAAAGTAATAAATATTTTCGACTGGCATTATATTAAAATTTTTATACAAATCTGAGGTACTGTATCTTGTGGGCAATGAGTACAGGTTTTTAATGGCCTTGTTTTGAAGGGTTTTAAGGGGTGTTATTACATTACTAGAAGTGGGAAACCATACTGCCGTGAGGTATTGAAGATGGGAGTGAATTAGTGAGAAATATACAGATCTTAAATATTTGTTTGGGATGCAGTAGTTAAGTTTGTGCAGAATTCCAATGGGTCCAGCAATTTTTTGTCGAACTTTTTGAACATGATTAAAAAATGATAGGGTTTCATCAATTTCCAAACCCAGAAACTTTACACAAGAACTGTAATTGAGGACACCACCTTCAATACCTAGCGGTTGATTATTCATTATCTCCGTTAGTATGCATTTTTGAAAAATGTTTTTGGGTTTGTTTTTAATGTTTTTTCAGGCTCTATCGATCATTAAAATTTTTCAGATTAATCCTGGACCACCCTGTATAATAAAACTTAAATCAATATAAACAAGGTAAACCTATTATTTTTAGGATGGTGGGCGACTTCTGTGACGGCCTTAATTTATAATAGTTTATAATGACATTAAATAAACAAGTTCGGCGCAAACAGAATTTAAATTAAAGTTTGCGAAAAAAAGTTAGTTTTTCCTGTTGCCTCACCCGCCTCCAGGCCCCCCTATTTGAGATAATTCAAATTAAAGTGGTGGAATTTATTATCTACTATAACTTATCGACAAATTTAAAATTTTATTTAAAAAATCCAAATATTACAGATTTTATTCGATTTTAAATTTTTATTATTTATTTTATTAACTTGTTTATTTAATGTCATTATAAACTATTATAAATTTGGTGTGGGTCCCATGTCTAATAACTGAGATATTGGTATACATAAAATCCACCAGCCACCTTGGTACGTTTTGTAACTTAGTGTGGCGACCAGGGAGGGGGGTCATATAATATGTAAACGGTCCCTAATGACAAAGTTATGATGATTTAACACGTTAACTGCCATGAGTTTTTTACAAGTAAGGTCCGCTGGGCCACCATGTTTTTAGCTTTTAATTCTCAATAAAAATATTCCACAATTTCTATAATACATTAGCTCAATTTTTTTATTATTTTAGAAATAAATATTTGTTATTATTACCATTTTTTGTCCAGCTTTATTTTGTTAATTTATTGTTATTTTTTCATTGACTCAATGAAAATAAAATCTTCATTTTTCTTATCGACATTTTTATTACGCACAAACTTAATTTTTGACAAACATACTTTTGAATGAAGGGATTGTCATCTTAAAAATGTCGGCTAAGTCTCTACCGGTGTACATCAACTCCACGACGATCATTTTAACATATAAAACCCATGTTATGCATCCTTCTTTCACATACACATGTCTAAAATAATTGTATCATGCGTGTATACAAAATCATACACATGGCGCAATAGACCCAACTCGCGTGTATTTTTTTTCATACACATGGCAGTTAACGTGTTAAAGTAAGAAGATTGAATAATCTTAATTTAAAGTTTGAATTTTTGACCCAAACTGTCATACCTACATCTTATTTAAAGTAAGAAGATTGAATAACCTTAATTTAAAGTTGAATTTTTGACCCAAACTGTCATACATCTGCCAACCAAATACTTCCGTATATTTTAAAAGTACAATTGGTTCCATTTCGTTAAAAAAACTATGAAATTGCAAATAATTTGTTCAAATAATAATTGTTTTTCCATACAATTTTCTTCATTTTAAAAGAAATAATTGTTCTTGATATTAAAAATAGTTGATAGCTTTAAATAAAGGACAATTGTATAGTAACACACGGTCTGGAAAACTAGTTCATGTAAAATTTTATAATTTTGGTATAATTAATAGAAATGCCAGTTAAAATTATTTCAATCTACCTTTGGGTATTTCAGCAAAACCTTACCCCACCTTGACAAAAAATCGGATGAGTTCTTTAACTAAGAAGATTATATTCAGGAGCTTCAACTTCGCATGGGAATCAACCGCGCATAGACCGTCAACTCACGTGACAGACTGCACATGCACGCATTGGTTCGAAGATTTACAACAGAAATAAAGAAGGTTGATTGACAAGCTTTATTTTAATTTCAAAATTATTATTTGAGAAAATCACTACATATGGAATGTTTGTGCTGTGTTAAAGATTGTATGTTAGTAAGTTTATAACAAAACATTAATTAAATAAATTGTCTCATTCCAAAATTCAGTCATTTTATACGTGAAAATACATTACTGATGATACATTACATGTAAGATTTTATTATAATATAAAATATTATATTATAATTACATTATAATCTTATTTACGAAATTGGTAAAGGTAAACATTGGTTTGACGCTTGACACATGCACAAAATAATAGAGGTTAAAAAGATACCTTCTTTATCTCTGCAAATGTTAGGAGGGGAGATGCGCAGAACTCAATTTTGCGTTCTCGGGCATTGTACACGTGCGACATTCTTGTGGACCCCCCACTCCTCGAATTTATATGGAGTTGAAGCTCCTGAATATAATCTTCTTATCTTTAACAAACCAAAAACTATATCTGAAGTCAAATACTTTAATTGCGACGTAATTTATAGCCTTAAAATATTTGTACATTCTAATGCTAAAAATTTAAGAATAAACACAAAGTATAAAATATGTGTGCATTTATAATACATGCTTGTTTAAAGGATTCTATTCAAGTTTTACACAAAAATATTTACTATATAATACATATTATGCTTTCATCCAAAATTTTACAGGATCAACTTTGGCAGCCAACTTGGTCGCATTTGCCGATTTTCTAATGTCGCGCCCGTTACGCGATTCATGACGTTATCAAATGTTTTCTATACTAGTTTTTATTCACATTTTGAGTTAAATATATAATTTTTGTACTTTTTTTGTACATTAACGTATCTTGTTATATATGAATGCAGTGTCAGTGTCGTACCCATTTTTTAAAATCTGATTCTGATTTGAATGGTCAATTCCACAACCCTATATATATATATATATATATATAGTTATTTATATAGTTATGAATATATTGACAAAACATTTAATATTCAACTTACCATTTAAATGTATTGCTAAATGATGCCCTTCTCTAACAGAAACTTCCTTAAAATACTCTATCCTTGAGACATCATTAGGAGTAAAAAAAAATAACTGACAAGGACACAATTCATCCCTCACAACTAACGAGTCAATTTTTTGCAAAGCTTCCTCACAAATTTGTCTGCATATATCAATAAGTAAAACCTTCCCATGTTTAGTACCTACAGCTAAAATTCCATCAAAATTCCTCAAAGGACCGCGCAAATTTAAATCATCAAACCCAGCATCTACTACATGTAAACTAGAAATCTAAAAAAATTATGATTTAAGAAAAAAATTATCTTATTAAAGAATTTGTTTTTACCTTATCCTTAATTTGTATGGCCCTTATTACTTTGGATCCATAAACATCAAATATGCAAATCAACCCCCCACTGAGTTCACAGTCCAACCCCACTGCCAGCAATGGTAATCGACCATGAGGCTTTTTGATTTCATCGACACAAACAACTTTGGTGCCGGAATCTTTTAAAATATAGCCAAAAGTCCAGGCGCCTACTTTGCAGCCCGTTTTGTTGTTTCTTACTTCTAAACAAGGCCCTTTGGCCAACCAACTAAAGTTTGTTTCCAATAAAATTCCCCCCAAAGTTTGAAAGTCTAAAAATGAGGTTATGTTTAGTTTAGGTTTATATTTACGGTTTAATGTGTTGTTTACCTTCTTGTTGACCCGTTTCATCGGTATTTGTAAAGCTTTGCAATGTAGATTTCGGATATTTTATAACATTTGAAATAGTAAATGACATTTTAAGGTTATAAACATATAAAATACATTTAATTATGATTAACAATGCACAACGCTTTATCGGTTTAAACTAAAATCGCTTAAAAAGCACAAAAACATTAACGTTGAACGAAATTTGTATTATATTTTATTGTTTTTACAACATTTACAACAAACGCGGACTATCAACAACTCGCCAAAATTTTAAACTGACAGAAATGGTTGCAGTGTTGCCACATTTCAATTTACCAGAAGTTAAATTACCCGCAATAGTAAAAAGAACTTGTATTATATTTATCTACCATTTATAAAAGTTTTAGATATGTTATTTGTTATATTATGAAACAGTCAAAAATTTATTTCGCTTTGGCTAATAAATTCCAAAAAATATTTTAATTTGTTTTAGACTGTTGGCAACATTACTTTTATCAGAGATAATCTCGGATGTTATGCGCCTATTTTGAATTTGAGTGATAAACAGTGTTTGATCGATTAACGTCATTTATTTTATTTTACAAACTATTTTTACATGAGAACTTAATGGCTGGACTACCAAAATTGCCAGGCCTATCGTTTACAGACCCTACTGTAAGTATATTTATTTAATAAAAGTTAAATATTCATATATATTTTATAGCAAACAAGATTTCATAAATCTGCAACTTTTGACATAATTAATGGCTATACGATTCCAAAATCGAATTTTTTGGCACCCGGAGGGCGAGAGTTGGAATCAAATTCCGTAAAATACATTCAGAAATCCGATCCGGTTAGATTTGATCCTTCACTGACTTATGGAAGGACCAGATCAAAACCTTTGCCCCAATTTATACCTAATTATGCATTATATGATAAAAAATGTCTTACGTTTAATGCTTTCTTTAAACAATCAGTGGTTGAATCACCTTTGGAACATTTTAGAATTCGCATAGTAAACATTATTTATTTTCTTGAGGACGATACAATCAGTGTTATGGAGCCTAGAGTGATAGTAAGTAGAAGCTTTTTGGCACTAGATTAGATTAAAATAACACACGCTGGGCTGTAAAAACCTACCATACTTGTTTTTTCATATAGAACAGTGGTCTGGACCAAGGAAAGCTCATAAGAAGGCAGAAAATACCGAAATACATCACTGGGGAAGTTTATACATGGAAGGATTTTGCAGTGGGGAAGGACTTGTGTTTTTATGGCGTTGTTTACCACACTGTGGATTGTGATTTATTTACTAGAGTAATAAAATAATTTATTCACCACAAATTGATTAAATTAAAATTGTTATGTAGGAATACATGGCCAGTCAGGGTTTAATAATGGATGAGCCAGAGCAAATGCCTACAGATTTGTACACTCAACAACGAAAGAGTAGGGAGGGGGTACCTATAAGTAAAACGCCTTCCGCAGATGACAATCTGCGCAGGTTTTTGGAGTATGATGGAAAAGTTCTTAAGTAATATAGAAAAATAATTTTGTTTCATTAATTTATTATTTAATTTAGATTTAAGGCAGTATGGGATGATAGGGATAGTGAATATGGTGAATTAAGAAAATATGAGGTGTTATACTTTTTGGCTGATGATGGAATTTCTGTTAAGGAAGTTCATGAGAAAAATGATGGCAGGGATCCTTTTCCATTGTTGTTGAGAAAAACCAAACTTCCAAAGGTTAAGTTCTAACATATTTGACATCTAGGTTTATATACTCCTATTGCATAATATTATGTTTTTTTCGTAAATAATGATAAAAAATATAAATTCCCTGCCTAATAACGGAATTAATGAACTCATTATCCCAGACTGCAATGAAGGTTCGAAAATATTCCAGGAATATGCCCTAGCATATAGGAATAATCCGCTTCATTCTAGGAATATTCCTCGGGAATATTCCTAGAATGATCATCTAAAACTTCCAAGCACCATCTAAAAACATTCCCAGTGAATATTCATTGGGAATATTTTATAGAATAATCCTCTACAACTTCCAAGGAACATCTTGGAACATTCCCAGTAAATGTTCTTTATATTCAAAAAACAATAAATAATTTTCTCTTTCTACAAATTGGTTATATTCCAGGAATATGCCCTATCATCTAGGAATAATCCGCTTCATTCTAGGAATATTCATTGGGAATATTCCTAAAATAATCCTCTAAAACTTCCAAGCACCATCTAAGAACATTCCCAGTGAATAATCATAAGTTTAGTTACAATATACCTCTCACCGTTGCTTACGTACGATTTAAACCCATAGGTTAAAAATATCACTTGGAGATGTGCGTCTGTGATGGCACAGCTTAACAATGATTGGAGTGGGACTGATCTACTCAGTAAATAATAATGGCTAGTTAAGTTAGGTTCCTGGGTATAAGAGCTAGAAGTAATCCCCAAATTATATTAAGGGACATTCTCCTAACAATACTCAAGCCTTATGCATGCCGCTACATGGAATATTCTTTTTATGATGACTGGGTTAACCAAAAAGCGGACATTTGATTACGCCAGTAAAATTCCTAGGAATATTCTGGCACGCTTGGGTTAATCCTGGGAATATTCCTGACATATGCAGGGAATGGGATTTTGCGGTCTGGGAGAATATTCCTGGGAAAATTCTCCTAACAATACTTCAGTCTTATGCATGCCTCTACATGGAATATTCTTTTAATGATGACTGCGTCAACCAAAAAGCGGACATTTGATTACGCCAGGAATATTCCTGGGAATATTCTCGGACGCTTGCTTGAGAAAAGGAGCATCGCTAGTGGCGCCACCACGTGGCCGTTATGATCGTAACAAATCTACAACTTTTAATAATCAGCTGTCAAAAGCGTATCCCTGCCGAAAATGCCCCTTTAAGAACAATAGAAACCAATGGGAATTTATTTTGTAATGTATTGGGTCTTAAAGGTTTGAATCTGGTGAATTGGTATCAATTGGAAAACATAATTGGTTTGATTGGGTATTTCCCATTTAGCCCTAAAACCATTTGGCGACATATAGAACCCAATAAAAACCAGTCCCAATACACATATTCAGTCCGGTACAAACCATTTCATTCTCTTATTGGTTTCTATGGGTCATTTTCGGCAGGGATGTTACAAACGAATATTTTTGAGAATAAAGCCGAAAAACGTAAAAAAATATCGGATAAAAAAACCGTGATTGATTTTTAATATGGGTCGCTCTCATTGGAGATTCTGAAATGGTAAAAAAAAATCGTGTTAGAATTTCAAGTGGATTTTACCTTTACCCTTTGAACCGCCATTTTAAGACAGATTTTAAACTTTAATAACTCTTTTTATTATTAAATAGATAGCATAACTTATTTTTTTTTAAAGATTTATACAGATCGTCCGGTAACTTTCCCATCAATTTACTACGAAACATCTGACGCAGAAGTAGTAGAATATTATAACCCGCAAGACTTAAAAGTGGGCGAAACGATCTTCATTTTGGGAAGAAAATTTTTGCTCTACGACTGTGACGAATCTACTCGCAACTATTACAAAAAAGTGTTCTGTATCGACCAAAATGCCGCCATCGATATAACGGAGAAACCCAAGAGACAGCCCCCAGAAAAAGTAATGCCACCTCATGATGGTTTTGGTTCTTTGGAAGATTCTTTGCAGAATACTTTAACTTTTATGCCAAAAACACCCAAAAAGGATGTTATAAGACAGATATTAAATGCCAACAAATACCTAAGGTATACACATTTTTACTTGAACTTAAAGATCCAAGTACATTAGGCTGGGAACACCTCAATAGAAGCCATTAGCGATTTTGATTATGTATTTTAAAACATTTATATATTAATGCCTAGACAAGCTATAAGCTTATTGGAATGTATACTTTCCAATAAGCTTATACAGGGTGGCCGATTTATCTGAAGACATTGAAATATTTCGAAAACTACGCATCGGATCAAAAAAAGTTTTGAATAAAATTTGTTCGCCTGGAAGGGGGACATCCAATGATACCAAAGTCGACCCCTCACCACCACCCCATGGGGTGGGGGTGGGGGCAACTTTAATATTCTAAATAGGAACCCCCATTTTTTATTGCAGATTCGGATTTACTATTAAAAAATAAGTAACTTTTATGGAAAAACTTTTTTTAAATTCCTGATAGATGGCGCTGTAATCGCAAGAAACCCGATTTTTGGGAATATCTTAAAAAATTACACATCGGATCGAAAAAAAGAAAAACTTGTTTAATTTTTGGATTTTATTCGTATATCAATAAGTTAACATCTATTTTTAAAATTACCCAAGAATGGGAAATCCGAATCTGCAATTTTTCAAGATATTCCCAAAAATCGCGATTACAGCGCCATCTATCAGGAATTTAAAAAAAGTTTTTCCATAAAAGTTACTTATTTTTTAATAGTAAATCCGAATATGCAATAAAAAATGGGGGTTCCTATTTAGAATATTAAAGTTGCCCCCACCCCCACCCCATGGCCATGGGAACATGGGAACATCAAAAGGAATTAATTAATTTAATTTATTTTGAATTCCCTTACAATTCTCGTATACACTAATTATATTTTTTAATGGGAAATCCGAATCTGCAATTTTTTAAGATATTCCCAAAAATCGCGATTACAGCGCCATCTATCAGGAATTTAAAAAAAGTTTTTCCATAAAAGTTACTTATTTTTTAATAGTAAATCCGAATCTGCAATAAAAAATGGGGGTTCCTATTTAGAATATTAAAGTTGCCCCCACCCCCACCCCATGGGGTGGTGGTGAGGGGTCGACTTTGGTATCATTGGATGTCCCCCTTCCAGGCGAACAAATTTTATTCAAAACTTTTTTTGATCCGATGCATAGTTTTCGAAATATTTCAATGTCTTCAGATAAATCGGCCACCCTGTATATATATATATACAGGGTGTCCCGGAAAATGTGGGAAATCCCTCGGATTCAGATAGAACATTAAAAAATAAGATGACAAGTTCCCATAAATTTTTTTCCTAGCGGCCCTCCCTACGGAGATACGGCCTCCTAAAGGACGCCACTGGAAATCAGATTTTCTTGAATAACTTTTAAACTACTTAATATAATTTAATGAAAATTTAATAGGATAAACAGTAGTAAGGACCTCTTAAAATACTGCCCTTAAAACATAATTAGCTTGTTTAGTTTACCAGGGGCGGACTAGGTTGTATATTTTAATGCTTACATTTTTAACACCCTGTATGATAGGGAGTTAAAAAAATAAATTTGGATACCTTGAACATTAAGCTAAAGAAAAGATACTCTTGTTTATTGTCGATAAAATTAACCGTTTTCGAGAAAAAAAATAATAAAGAATTAATGTCAACCAAAGGTTCTTCCCCCACCATCTCCGATTTTGATCATTTTTGGTAAATTTGTTTACCTCACTAAAAAACTCAAAAATCCCATATATGAATTTTTTTCGATAGGTGGTTTTTGTTTTATTGATTTTTGAAAATCTAAAAATTTCGATAAATTTGGGTCTTGCAAGTACTTACAAAAATAGCGATATCTCGTAAACTATTAAAAGTAGAAAGGTGAGTGATGGCTTATTTTAAAGGCCTATTAGAGAACTTTTTTATGATATATCACATGACCTATATTTTAAAATTAGAAATCATGGTCTTTTTAATAAAAATAAAACATTAATTCTTTATTATTTTTTTTCTCGAAAACGGTTAATTTTATCGACAATAAACAAGAGTACCTTTTCTTTAGCTTAATGTTCAAGGTATCCAAATTTATTTTTTTAACTCCCTATCATACAGGGTGTTAAAAATGTAAGCATTAAAATGTACAACCTATTCCGCCCCTGGTAAACTAAACAAGCTAATTATGTTTTAAGGACAGTATTTTAAGAGGTCCTTACTAATGTTTATCCTATTAAATTTTCATTAAATTATATTAAATCAAATCAAATCAAATCCTTAAATAATGTTAAGGCTTTAAAAAATTTCTTTCATCCAAGATAAATATAAATGTTTGTGGAGTATGTTGGATGCATGTATCCAACATGTACATATGTTATAATAAGCATAAGTGTGTTTGTATAATAAGTTTATTTATTTTGTTAGTATATCTGTACAGATTGTAACTGAAATGTGATATTTATAAATGTGATAATGGTAATATGTAGTCAGTTAAGTTCAAAATTTGTAATTGTATTCAATATTAAATATCTATCGTGTATATAGAGATGCCCTCTATAAACAAGTTCTCATTGTTTCTTGGGATGAATAAAGTATTTTATTATTATTATTATTATTAAGTAGTTTAAAAGTTATTCAAGAAAATCTGATTTCCAGTGGCGTCCTTTAGGAGGCCGTATCTCCGTAGGGAGGGCCGCTAGGAAAAAAATTTATGGGAACTTGTCATCTTATTTTTTAATGTTCTATCTGAATCCGAGAGATTTCCCACATTTTCCGGGACACCCTGTATATATATATACAGGGTGGTCCAGGTTATAGTAGCAATAATTTACCATTCGATAGTCCATCGAAAAATAAGTCGACATGCATGGTAATTTTTTTCTCCAAAACCCCTCCTAAGGGAGATACAGCCCTTCAAAGTTGAGTTTTAAAAATCTTTTTTTTGTCATAACTCTCAGGAAATAAAAGCGTTTTTGACCAAATTTGGAACAAGTACTTATGAAATAGGTACTCGTTACCTGACGTAAGTAACTTTTGTCAAAATTGTCCAGTGACGTAGATACAGGGGGGTTGTTTCACTCTTTCCACCCCATTTTTTACGCCACTGGATATTGGTTTAAATTGACCTATTTTTCTAATTCCTTGTTCAATTTTGAGAAAAAAAGCCACTCTTGTCAAATTTTGATTTAAGGCTTTGTTTACGAGATAATTGAGTTTAAAAAAACATACAGTCCTGCAAAGTTCAGTTTTAAATATCTTTTTTTTTGTCATAACTCTAAATCTAAGATCGCTAAAGCGTTTTTCACCAACTTTGATACAAGTACTTATGAAGTAGATACTCGTTACTTGACCCCAATAACTTTTGTCAAAATTGTCCATTGGCGTACATACAGGGGTTGTTTCACTTTTTCCGCCCAGGATTTCACTGAAAAATAACTCGACATGCATTGTTTTATTTTCTTCAAAACTTCCTCAGAAAAGACATAAAGCCCTTCAAAATTCAATTTTAACATTTATCTTTTCGTATAAGAATATTTGATTAAATTTGGTATTTAAAATAGGTAATCAACACTTGACGTATTTTTAGTTAAAATTATCAAGACTTAGTGGCATACTACTTTTAGAAACGGATCAATGTGATAATTATTGATTATGATAATAAAAAACGATACGTACTAAATAAATCATAATAACATTTTAATAACGAATTCAAACTTATCTAACATTTACAAATAAATTAATTTAACAATTGTTCAAAATTCGAACCGTTCTGCTGTATGCACAATTGGCTACGTCTAATGATGTTCTGGTTTAAGCTTAATAGCACATTGCGATTAATTTCTGCACACGCATTCTGGATTATTTGTAGAAGCTCTTCCCTTGTGGGCACAGGTGTGAAGGGCTTTATGTCTTTTCTGAGGAAGTTTTGAAGAAAATAAAACAATGCATGTCGAGTTATTTTTGAGTGAAATCCTGGGCGGAAAAAGTAAAACAACCCCTGTATGTACGCCAATGGACAATTTTGACAAAAGTTACTTGGGTCAAGTAACGAGTATCTACTTCATAAGTAATTGTATCAAAGTTGCTGAAAAACGCTTTAGCGATCTTAGAGTTAGAGTTATGACAAAAAAAGATATTTAAAACTGAACTTTGCAGGACTGTATGTTTTTTTTAAACTCAATTATCTCGTAAACAAAGCCTTAAATCAAAATTTGACAAGAGTGGCTTTTTTTCTCAAAATTGAACAAGGAATTAGAAAAATAGGTCAATTTAAACCAATATCCAGTGGCGTAAAAAATGGGGTGGAAAGAGTGAAACAACCCCCCTGTATCTACGTCACTGGACAATTTTGACAAAAGTTACTTACGTCAGGTAACGAGTACCTATTTCATAAGTACTTGTACCAAATTTGGTCAAAAACGCTTTTATTTCCTGAGAGTTATGACAAAAAAAAGATTTTTAAAACTCAACTTTGAAGGGCTGTATCTCCCTTAGGAGGGGTTTTGGAGAAAAAAATTACCATGCATGTCGACTTATTTTTTGATGGACTATCGAATGGTGAATTATTGCTACTATAACCTGGACCACCCTGTATAGCTCTTACTATTGAACGTAAGATCCCTCTTATTGCAATTTTCCATTTCTATGAGAAAAAATATATACCTCACAAATTTATTTCCTAAGCACATTACATGTTTTCTCTACAAAAAGTGTTCTACGTGTTTTTTTGTAAACCGAGCCATTCAAAAGATATCTTATAAAGTTAAAATATATATATATATATTTTTTAAATTGCATAACTTGCAGAATAGTAAGGGTTTTGAAATAAGTAGTAGATATTTTTTTTGGTAATTAACTGATCTAAAAAAAAATTTTCTTTAGTTTTTTCGATAAATGTAAGCGTTTCAAAAATAATTGCGCGCGCGGAATAATAATAAATTTTGTTTTATATAGTGGTTAAGATACATGGCTCTTAAAATAACAAGGTTTGTTTTTAACTTTTTCCCTAAATATTTTATTAAAATGCTGTAGTGTAATTATTAACATCCAGGAGGTTTGGGAACCGGAATACTTTTTAAAAAATAAAAAAAAATTGAAAATAGTTAAGCATATTTTAATTAATAAGAACACAAATTTACAGGGTTATGGTTTAAATCGCGATTTAAATCAATTGCTTTTTTATTTGAATCATGATGAAAACAAAAAATTTAAATAATTCCTAGAAAACTTGTAGACCGACTATTTATTTACCACTGTAATTTTCTTAAAATGTTTTATGCTTACCACATGGCAAAAATACTTTTTGTAAAACTAAATTAAAATCATTTGTCCCTTTCAAATTTCTTAAAAAGTGACAAAACGTGCAAAAGTACAAAATGTGGGTGTAAAAACTGAAACCAGTAACCAATGCTCTTGATAAAATACAAGGTGATAAGTGTTTTGGACTTTTTCTCAATATGAAAAGATCTTCAATATAAACTTTGTGAGATCGATGTTCAAGAAGATACAAACAGGCTATGACACCAGCTCATTTTTTGGCATATATGTTGTCTAAAAAATGCCTCAGTATTAGCTTTCCAAGGAACTGATTTGTTCTTTAAACAGTTCAGAATTTTATAACCAAGACAAACCTAAAGAAGGATTCTGTATTTATTTTATTGGTTACTGTGATGGCTACAAGATGGCGATAGTGTTAAAATATGTTTATTTTAGAATGGAAATATAATTTCGATTAAATCGATTTATTATAAGAAAAATAATACCATAACGCCAATCGTGAGTCTAAATTAGTTCAGGCATGCTTCTGAGCCAATCATCTAGCTATAAATATTAGTTTAAATTGCGGTCGTTTCAAATTCAAATAATTTAAATGTTGCTGGGTATTCCACGTATAAAATCAATCAATTTTATTGACTAAATTTATAGTATATTATAGAAAGTAAAATATTTAAATTATACTTAATTTTTTAATTCTCTATGATGAGGCACTGCCTCACCTGCCTCCCCTGACGGGCCGCCACTGATATTATTAACATTGTTTGGGTTTTTTCGTAAATAATGGTAACCAATATAACCGCCCGGCCTAACAACGGGAATATTAAACTCATTATTCACATTGTTAGGCATTAGTGATTGGCTGATTTCAATATTCCCTGTTATTTAAACCAATCGGGTTTTAAATTGGGAAAAAGTAAGGTTAATAGATGTTAGATTTGTTTATATATACGAGGGGCGACTATAATGATCTTTAAAATCGGGAAAAAGTGAGGTTATAATAACTTTTGTTATCAATGAAATTTACTTAATTGAAGTAGAAAAAGCATAGTATTACACTCGAAATAATGCGCATTATTTACTCGGATGATTTACGTTCTCTCGCCTGACGGCTGGAGATGCAAACGTCATCCTTGTGAATAATAGCCTGCATTATCTCTCGTATAATAATATACTATTATTAACAAAAACTATATTAGTATAGTATACAACTATTGTATACAACAAAATAAACTAAATTTTCTCCATAAAATTATTTATACTTAATACTTTACAAACTTTTACCCAAGATATCTTTTGAATGGATAGGTTTAAAAAAATCATAAGATACCTTTTTGCAAACTTTTACCCAATATATCTTTTGAATGGATAGGTTTAAAAAAATCATAAGATACCTTTTTGCAGAGCATTTAGTTTCCCATCAAAATGAGCTTATATATTTTATAAAATAAAAATTCATCTGTTAGTGGGATATAAAAAAAATCTGACTAATTTGAAAATTGAAAATTTCGATGAGGATGATCTAATGGTTTCTTTTAAGGTGCCAAGCAACCAATTTTTCAGAATCAGAAGTCAAAAAATAATAGCAGTTTTTTTCAATCATCCCACAGTACATATTTAACATTTTAAGGTATACAATGGTTATGGACACGGTTCACCCAGAAGATTCTATAAGAAATTTTGTCCTATCTTATTCCTTAGCAGATAGTACATGTAAAATTCACGAGCCGCCTATTAATAATTCCGGGTTTAAGGGTGGCCAATATTTGTCAAATTATTTGCTGGTTGTACCGGGAAGCGACCCCTTAAATCCGGATTATTACAGCCCTGCTCATTTTCATATAGGGGCTCTTATAACTGTGTTTAAGCAAAGGTTTATTATAACAGGTAGGTAAAACTTTTTTTTTAACATTAGAGAATATTGAACGTTAAAATATAAGTTTTTTAGGGGCTGATTTGTACGTTTATCGTTACATGTTAGCAAATTCAGATAAATTCCCTTGTGAGGTAATAGATAATTTACGAAACTACATGTACAATAAAGGATACTTGAATGATGATGTCAAAGACCAATTCCAAGAGAACATGGAAGCTGCCAAAATTGATTATAGCGGAAAACTTGGTAAATATGTTTTTTGTTGAAGCCTTTTTTACAATTTAATTATATAAAAATCTTTGACAGAAACTCAGATGCGCAGGAGCACTGAAGAAAAGGAAATCAAGAAAACCGACATGGAAAAATGCCTGGAGTTGGTCAAAGCTGGCGGCGGCATGGACCCGGAAGAGGAAGCAAGAATACGCGCAGGCATCCTTCAAGAGTACGAAGATTCGCTAAAAAGAGAGCGCGAAATCATGCCGTACGGCATCAAACCCGTCAACGAGTCGTGCCGATACCCTGTTGTCATTGGAGATATCAAAAGCAGTGTATGTCCAGAGGACGAGAGTAACGAGTTAAAAATAAATTGCCAGAATTTAAATTTATAGAAATATTTTTTTAGCAAATACCGCCACCTACACTCCAAAACACATCGACACTCCCGAAGAAAAAGTCGAGAAATACTACGCAAAAGTGCTCAAAAAGGAGCACCATATTTGTACTGAAAAACAACCTGTCGAATGTTTGGACCAGCCCCCATATCACATTGCCACCCGTGATATGGTCGAACAACCAACCCCTCTCATGGTTCAACCCCCGGATCTGCCCCCTGGCGCATGTAATGTCAAACAAGTACGATTCGCCGACAGCGTGGACCGATGCGAACAAGATAAGTATAACATGTGCAACTTGGGACACGATAGAACGCATTGCGACTGCACTGACTATCAGAAAAAATGCTAACAATGTACCTTTTATACCTATTATTAATAAAATATTTATTCAAAAGGAATCAATTTATAAATACAATTATATGGGAAAAAATGCACAAACCATTTATTATCTTCTAGAAAAATGGGACTCCATATGTTTGGAGGATCTCTGTATGTTAGCTAAGTTTGACTTTATTCTACCCTCTACACTTGATGTATTGGCAGATTTAACCAATTCTCTATGCACAAAATCTTCCTTAAAATTCCCCTTATAACTCTCCTCCTCCTTCTTATCATTCTCCCTATACCTCTTCACATTCTCAGTTCTCTCCTTATCCCTCCATACTGCATTATTCATCATCTCCTCTCTAAGTCTATCCTTCTCCTCTTCCGTTAACTTTTTCGGTCTTTTCCTATCATGAGCGCTCGCAGATTTATCGTCTTCCACCTTTTTGTCTTCCTTTCTTTTGTATGATTCTTTAGGTTTGCGTTTAACATCAATCTTAGTGCCATCAGATTTCACTAAACCCCATGCTTGTGGCTTGAATGGAATTTCAGTACCATCGCTGTCATATTGGGGTTTGTAGTAGATTTTTTGCCTTCTTTTTTCGTTTTCTGCTTCACTATCTTCACTGCTCAAGTCTTTCTTCTTTTTGTTTTGGCGTTTACTTTTTTTATTATCTTCACTGTCTTCAGATGATTCCGATTTTTTATTCTTCCTTTTGCTCTTTTTGTCTTTGCTTTTTTGCTTTCTTCTTATACTTTGGTTTTCATCACTCTCTTCACTGCTGTCAGATATTTTATTCTTCCTTTTGCTCTTTTTTTCTCTTTTATGTTGTCTTCCTTTACTTTTGTTGTCATCACTATCTTCACTGCTATCATATGATTTTAATTTTGTATTCTTCCATTTGCTCTTGTTTTCTTTGCTTTTATCTGTTCTATGCCTTCTTTTACTTTTATCATCATCACTTTCTTCTGACTCTGATAGTTTATATTTCCTGTCTTTCTTCTTTTTGTCTTTTCTTTCTTCACTTTTTTCTCTTTTATGTTTTCTTTCAGGAGTACTATCTTCAGACTCTGATCTTTTATATTTTCTATCTTTGTTTTTGTTTGTTTTGTCTTTAATTTTTTCATTTATATTTTTTCTGTCATTTATCTTAATGTTTCTATCTGAAGAATCCCTCCAATTTCTATGATCTTTTTTATTATCCCTACTTCTGCTTCTTTCATTTCTTCTATTTCTGTAATCCCAATAACCATTATCCCTCCTATTTTTTTTACTCCTTTCTTTCTCCTGCAAGTCATTATTTCTTTTATCTTTATGTTTTTTTTTCTTTCTTTCATCTTCACTAGACTCTGAATCACTTGATTCACTACTACTCCTTTCTTTCTTCTTTTTATTCTTCTTGGATTTTTTCTTCTTTTTCTTATCTTCTTCCTCCTCATCATCGCTACTATCTTTTCCCTCCAAAATATCATTTAAATCATCTTGACTTAACTTATCTTTTAACTGATTATATTTATGCATCAAAATAGTATCTAGAGCACTTCCTTTTGCCTTTTTATCAGCAATATCTGATTCTAGAGGCCCTCCTTTAAGCATAGCCAACTTTTTACTAATCTGTGCATCAATATCACTGTCAGAATCATTCTTGCGTTTCTTCTTTTTTTTTATTTTGTTACTTGCCTGACTTTCCAGAGCTTTCTGAAGTTTCTTTAATTGCACAGGATTCTGCAAGAACTGCCTTCTTGCTTCTTCTTCACGTTTTTTTATGGCCACCAAAGGATCCTCTTGTAGTTTTGCTGAAAGATCGACTTGTTCAGCTGGCACAATTTTATTGAAATCTCTTATTGATGGAGGTATACACTCGTGTTCAACGTGATTTTTAGGCACAGGTAAATGCAATGCTTTCGTTTTTTCGTCGGCATCTAATTGTTCCAGCGTTTTATCAACGCTACGGCCCAGAAGATATTCTTCTCTGTTGACCATGCTATTTGGGCCCTAAAAGTATACGAAATGGTTGTTAAATGCCCCTTCAGTGGTTGTAATGATGATAAATTACCTTGTACATCCAATTAAGCTTTTTATCTCCCTCATTTTCAGTCATTTTTGGTAAAGTTTAGTAAATTGAGAAATAAACACAATTTGAGGTTAATCAGTTGTCATTTAAAAATGCGACGTTGCCACGTTGACTTTCATGTTATTAGGACAGGGACGTACTGGCCCATGTGTTTATAAAATAAAACAAGATATTTTTATAATTAGTTTTATTACTGTATTTTGGGACTAGTATTTTATTATATTTAAGTACAGTTTTTTACTACTTATTTACATTTATAAAATGTTAGGTATTAAAATATATTATTATTAAAATCTTATTAATAATAGTTAGGTAACAAATTCATACGTCCAAAAAATCACAGTTGTTACTAAATCGACTAAACAAACAGTCTGTTAAACATTCTTGCAAAATATATTTTGTAAGAATTATATACTTATAATAAAGGCATGGCAATTCTTGGAAAAATTATGTACAAAACAAAACAAAAATTAGGTGAAAGTTTAGTAATAAAAATACGCTAAAACAGTCAAAAGTAAAAGCCAACCGGAGGATTGGATGACAGCACCTCCGTCGCCATCTTGGAGTTGTCGGCTTTCTCCATCCAAAAGCGGGTCAGCTTCAGCTTCGGTAGTACAAATGTCGCCACAATCTTCGCCCTCACAGATGTCGCAGAGTGTGTTTCTGGGACCCCTGTAAAATACTCTGGCACGACGAGCTAGAAAAAAGAAAAAGGAGATAAAAGTAAAGATAATTAGGAAAAAATCGGATAAACGTACAGGTATCATAGTAATCATAGATTACAACAGGAACAGGTTTCTGTTTGGCAACCTTGTGAGTTCTAAAGGCGGACACAGTAGGACAATACTCCAATCGTGTGATATTATTGAAATACAAAATAATTTTAGTTAAACTATCCCTAGTCTCCACTTTCTGAACATTTTGGGAAACTTCCAGGCTGGGTAAGGCGTCAGTATCTGCGGTGAATCCTGAAGGTAGTGTTACTTCCATAACCGCCATATTGCTTTCCATGCTGTCACTAAGGTTTTTAGACACAAATCTAAAAAATAGAGTTAAAACTTGTTATACGAGAATTTTCAGTATCACTTACGCAGTGCAAATAGAAACCTGCAAATGATGTCTGTGTGAATTTTTGTCCACTTGTGGATCCAGGGTGAACATGGGCCAAGGGCCAGTAACATTCATATTGTATCGGTAAGAAACCCTAAATATTCCTAAACCACTTCCTGAAGCTGTAACGTTGATAACCCTGGCATCTTTGCGAAGCTAAACAATCATTTTATTAACAAAAATATAACCATTAGAGTGGGTCAAATATCCGCTTTTTCAAAATTATAATTTAAGCCTAGGGTGTTAACATCAATTGACCAAAAGATTTTTTTGTGCACATAATTTTTTTTCACCTCAAAGAATAACAACATTTTTTTGGTCAATAATAGCCTATAGCCCATCAAATGCACTTAAAATTAAAAGTAACAAAATATTTTTTTTCATGCTATCTCTTTGACGTAAATATTGTAATTGGCACTTAATCGCGATTTTATTCCAAAATTGTCAATTTTTTGAAAACATTTACTTAGTTTAAGTCTTTATTAAGTTCTTCACTCAACGGTTTAAGTACTTTTTTTTGTTAGTAAATTTAATTGTCTACATAAAAGGTTTTTATCAATTATCGTATAAATATTGCAGTTTCAGAGATAAATTTGCAAATTTTATATTAAAATAATTGTATAATATAAATAAATAATGAAATTTTTTAATAATAGTATATTATAATATAATATAATATATTATATGGAATTGGAATATCCAAATATTTAAAAATTAGAATATTTGAGTATTCAAATATTCGATTACTCGAATATTCGAGTATTCGAATAATTAGACTATTCCAATTAATATTTAAACAATTATTTGAATTTCTAAAACTGAAAATTTCCCAGCTTTTCTGGATATGCGTTATGCGATAATCGATGACCTTTTGTAAGAAATTACATTTACTAACAAAATATATAAAAACATTGTGTAGGTATACCTAGATATATCTTGTAGCCAATCAAATTTACCAACAAAATTAAGTAACCAAATTCTTTTTTAAACTAAAATTACATTAAGCAATAAAATATATAAAAAAAATATTTTTTTGTCGAGTGGTTAATATTGGGCCGATATGTATTCGCAATTGATAATAATAATGAAATTCAATTCTTCCGCTGTGAACAATCTTATTTCTTTCTCTGTATATATTTTCATTTTCTCCCTCCCTCTACCATGACCACGCTATAGTGTGATTGACTTTGAATGTAAACGTCAGAATTAAACCAAACGTGAGATTTTATTTTTGACACAAGTTTTCTTTCAGGTACCCCAAATGTGTAGGTATTTCTAAGCGTAAATTTTGTCATTTTGTAGACAATTAAATTCCCTAACAGATATCATGAAAAAAAATGGTTTGTTACTTTCAATTTTAAGAGCATTTGGCGAGCCTAGGATGTTGACCAAAAAAATGTTTTTTAATATTTTTTTTCACCTCAAATAATAATATTTTTGCTATTACCAAATTTATTAAAAAAGCGTATATTCGACCCACTATATACAACCAATCCCTAACTTACAGGCACAGTTTGTAGTATCATAGCATTCTGCCTATTAACATTAAACTTATTAAACTCTTGCTTCCTGTACGTAAAATCTATTTGCATATTCGTATTTGCAGACAATTTAGTAACCAACTTATACAACGCTTGCAAACCCACAACGGTGTCACGGGAACTTGAAAAACCGCCCAAACTATTTTGCTGATCTAATAACCAAGTAAGCACTGGAATAGCATCATCCAATAGGTTGGCTTCAAGGAAAGTCAACAAAGCGTACGATGTGGTTTCTATGTCAACAGATCTAGGCAGCTTCGTCCAAGGGTTTCTAGTTTCATTGGTCGGCGTATCCAACGCCCACCATTTTTTGTTGTCTTTAGTTTTGGAACGTGCATCCAAAAGGTTGAAGGCGCTTTGCTTTGAAGTGTGTTTGGCTAAGTGTAAGGCATAGCTGCATAATGCTATGGTGTATGTCGATTGGCTTTCGTCTATGTTTCTTGCGATGTAATCCAGACCTTTGTTGATTGTGTTAGTGTATTTACCTCTTAAACCGCTCTACAATTGCAATTTTGTTGTTTAGATTTTAGGTGAATTAATTGATATTTAAACTTACCTGGTTCTCCAAAAACGCTGTTACCACGAAGGCAGTAAGACCCAAACTGTTACCATTCTTATTCTCCATTTCGCTGTAAATTACATTTCCAGTTTCAACAAAACTTCCATTTTTCCCTTGGATTTGGACAAGCCAGTCCAGGGATTTATCAATAATACTTTGATCCACATAAATATATGGTCTAGCTTGATGGAAAGCCATAGCTACATAGGCAGTAACCCATACGTTGCTTTCTGTATCCCTAGTACCAAAAGCACTAAAGGAACCGTCAGGTTTTTTGAAGGAGAGTTGTTTTTGATATGTTGTCTCCAAAATACTAATAGCCTGATTCTCAATGGTGGGTGTGAGTTGTCTAGTAGTCTTTAAATACTGTAAAATAATTAAGTTGGGCATAAATCTGCCTAAATTTTGCTCCCCACAGCCATTTGGTAGCCTTATCAATTCTTCCAAATGTATTAAAGTTGGACCTAAGAGGTCACCAACTGCAGAAGCGTCTATTGATTCAGATCCTTCCACTGCATTCTTTGGAATTTCAATTGTGATGTTCTTTTTAAATTCTCCGGAATTTCTGAGATCTATCAGTAAAGTTTTCGTGTAATATTCTGGTTCACCCTCAGTCTAGAAATGCCAGTATTAAGAGAAGAATTATGCAGGTTTTTTTCGATTTAATGAATCCGAATTGGGCCTCAGAGTTGCTCAATCACATCAGGCTTTTGAGGAATTTTAACCCAAAATAGGAAAGCGCTAGATATTTTTTGCTACATGTATATTTTTCTCTACAAAACTCGTTACGCCTACTCTGCCCTTTTAAAATCAGTTTTAATTTGTCTTTTCTTTTTTTTTTGTTGGTTAGGATTTCTCATAAACCTGACTTGATGGAGCAATTCTAAGATCGGAACATAGAATATTGGTTAACGTTTGTAGGATGACGTATGTTTTTAATAAGGTTTTGGCTTACCGCGACAAGTAAATTCTTCATTGAGACATCCTGATTCTTTGGACTATTAGCCGTAACTTTGATCTCAATGGAACCTTGTTTTATTGGTGTTATCATGAAAGATACTGAAGCACCATTATACTTCTTAACATAAACCTTCTTTCTCCTATATAGTTCAATTTCTAAAATAATAATAACATAATAAAAAAACTAACAAGACATTCCAAACTTACTTCTTGTAGCATTAACATCATTAGAAATCTCTGCAAACTCAAACTTTTGTTCAGGATTATGCAAAGTTACTTCCACATTAATGTCTTGTCCCAAATGATTATAAACAACCACTGGTACAGCCAATATCTCTCCCCTTTGCACTGAATGCGGCAAATCGAGTGAAACAACAAAAGATTTAGAAACTTTAAGCTTCTTTGGTGAAGTAATCAACCCCAATCCATGAAGAGGATCCAGAGAAAACCCAGTGATAGACCAAGAGTTCAAAGTGCTTGGGATTTTTCGCCTGATTGATGTTTTTCCTTCGTATCCAGATGAAAAGTTATTGAACAACCAGGTGTTTGCTATATCATGAGTGAGGTAGACTTTTGGTTTATTCCATACTGGTTTTGGTATCCTACTAAAGGCATAAGGACCTGCTAGTGGCGGTCTGGTTACTGAATGAATTGGTAAAACAAAACCTCTGTCGGGTTTTACAGTGGCAGTTCCGTAGAATACTGGGCGTAAATAAATGTCTTCCACTGAAAAAATGCATTATAATGATTCACAAGATTACAAAAGTCAACATGAATTTTAAGACTGAGATGAACAAAATTATATTTTAAAAAAATGTTTGCTTTTGTACCCAGAAGGACGTTTTGTTAATGTTTAACAACATATTTGATTTTAATTTTCATATGTTGAAAAACTGTATTTACTTAATTATTATATAAAAAAAGTTAAAGTTTCCCCCAAATATAGTCTCCCATTTTTTTTTCATTGCATTGGAGTACGGTACGTTGTTTTTATATTTTTATATTTATTATTTATTTATCTAAAAGATTAAACTAGTGACGAACCAAAGATTTTAAGGTTTTTTAAACTTTAAAATTTTAGAGCCATCTCATTTTTTATGTCAGCTCTAAAAAAGGCAAAGAAATGTTGTGGTATTCCCCTTTTTACCAAAATGCCTATGAAGCAAAATACTCTGGACAAAGCATAAAATCGAATCGAATCGAATCGAACAGGCAGTAAAGATCGTAAAAGTTTAATCAATATATTATAATTAAGACGATAAATAAAACTTGTAAAAGTAATGGGAGTGTAATTTTCATGTCCATTTATTAAATTAAATTAATTATTATGTATATACAGGGTGTCCGGGAAAAGGAGGTCAATCCGTTAACCATATATTCTTTGAGTTAAAACAATAAGACTTTTATAATACCATTTTTCAATTTAGAGCTTCATGTTCGATATACAGGGCGACAAAGTTTGAAATTTAAAAACTGATTTTTTTTAATAATTTAAGTAATTGATAAGATATTAAGTTTAACTTCGGTACACTACTTCAAGATAAATAGTTACATTTTTTGAGACCAACAAAACAAAAAACATTTGTCAAATAATCAAAATAGGGGGGTCCAGTACTCACTGACTCCCCCTATTTTTTAGTACGTGCGCCAATGACTTCCAAACGGTATTTTTTCAGGTAATCATTTATTGTTGAAAATTTTTTGTCTTATAAAATTTTGATAAAATGATTTGTTTAAGAGATAATTTGTAAAGTATGGGTCAATCCATATCAAATTTTTGAAATTTAATTTTTTTTTTGAAAAAATTTAGGTCATGTGATATATCATAAAAAAGGTCTCTAATAGGCCTTTAAAATAAGCCATCACTCACCTTTCTACTTTTAATAGTTTACGAGATATCGCTATTTTTGTAAGTACTTGCAAAACCCAAATTTATCGGAATTTTTTGATTTTAAAAAATCAATAAAACAAAAACCACCCATCGAAAAAAAATCATATATGGGGTTTTTTGAGTTTTTTAGTGAGGTAAACAAATTTACCAAAAATTATCATTAACACTATTGTGACAAAGGCATTAGGAAAGTTGATTAGCTTGAAAAAAACTACAAAATATATTTTAACTTTTTTTTCCTACGATAAACCGTTTCGGAGTTTCGGAGCACAACGTGTTTTTGGTGAAAACTCAAAAAGTTTTGGATTTAATTTTTTTCAAAATCGGTTAGTTTAAGAAAAAAATTTTGTCAACAAAAAATGTAGGGTGCATTGTCCCCTACAATTTATGTCATTAGGTCGATGCTCTAGGACAGAAAATTCAAAAATTAGGTAGCGCTTAAGTACACAAAAAAGCGTTTTATCGCGTTTTGACCCCGAATAATTTTTTTTAACGCAGGACTGTTATTACGAAAGTTGTTTATCTAAAAAAAACACATAACATTTATATACACTTTTTTTTCCTACGATGGACCGTTTCGGAGTTATATCAGCCTTCCGAATTTTCTCAATTATTTATTAAAAAACCCCTGTGGGGCACGTGTTCCCTTTTAAAATTTTGCAGGAATTTTTTTTTTACGATTTGGAACCGATTTGGGGGGCGCCTCTGTTAAATTTTTTCCGACCCCTAAATAAGGAGCACCCTAATATATATATATATATATATATATATATATATACTTACAAGTAGGCCTGTATCTATTAACATGAGCATTCGTCAGAAGATCAGCTCCTGATTCATATATTGCTGCATGTGGATTACTCTGTCCAGGTTTCCACATAAAGTGTGTTTTGGCATCTTTTTGAATGTAGGAATATGGCGTTCCTCTGGCAATATCATACTTAAGTAGTTCATTAGCTATTTCTCTCTGCGTTAGATCATAACCGGATCTCAAAGCTCCAACATTTTCATCCACGGCGAGTAAACCTATGTAGGAGTTTTGTTGGGCTCTTATAATCATTTCTACGTCTAGATCTGGTTCACTTTCCACTGTATTTACTTGGATATCGAGCTACAATAACATTTTAATATCAATGGTCATTTGTTAAGGTTTATGTACTTACGAAGTTCTGCAAAAGGCCATCAATCTCAATATCCAGGGCATCAGCAATCATCTCCCCATCTTTCCTGACATACGAAACAATCAAATGCGTAACAGGCACCATAGCGTGTATTGCAGTAAAATGGAACCTAAACTCCTTGCTATTATCAACTTGGAAAGTATTTGTTATTAAAACATCACCTCTACCCATGAGAACATAATTAACGTATCTCATTGGTTCAGTGCAATTCACCATCACTTCAACGTCGAGGTTTACTATTGGTCGTTCGGTATCAAGGCTCACTTGCAAGTACGTGTTGCTGTACGAGACGGCAGCTGGTATTGGTGATATTCTCTCTTTTAGGTCTTTGTATTCAGCTTCGATTCTTAGAGCTGTGGTGTTTGTTACGTTAATTGGAGTGTAGTATTCTAGTTTTACTATGCCGCTTTTGTCTAGCTTGTGTTTTGTGGTTTCGTAGACTTCATCTTGGCGGGAATAACCGTGATTCACCGTTATTTCTTGTTGGTCAATATTTGATGCAGTTCCATCATGATTAGATACTTTAACGTACGCAGTGTATTTTAGACCGGGCTTAAAATAGTCAGCGGTCTTGATTAGTTCCATTTTGTAGTCGTATTTGTGTAGTTGTATTTGTACACTATTGTTTTGTCTTCTTCCAGTCGGAAATTCCTCCACTGTAACATCTAATATTACAGTTCTTTCATATTCATCATTCAAATTTAATTCGTTTGCGATATCAAATTGCACAGTGGCTTGTCCATCTATGGGGATAACTTTTCTTACTGGGTTTTGGAAGATCGGTTGTATAACTCCAGAGTAGATCGTCGGGAAAGCTGTTACAGTCGCTTCACCTGTAACTTTTTTACCGTAACCATACCTGCAACAAATTGTTACAAAAATGGCGAATGCGCTGGGATTTAAACTTACTTTGTATCTATATTGACTAAAATTATATTATCTCTGAAAGTAACGTGCTTGGGGGCTTGAATGTCAACCATAAATTTAGGCAAGACGTAATCAGCAACTTCCACATTTTTGCTGTATGTTTGACCATGTATTGTAACAGATATGTTCCAATTGCCTAGGACAGGACTTTCACTTAGTTTTAATTCCCCTGTAAATACGCCCCTGGTTGCTTCCACACGTGTCCATTCTTTTACCCTGTTTCCTTGTCCATCCTTAAAAACGTAATGATTAGTACCTATTTAATATTAAAAGTGGGTAATTTTCTTACTGAAATATGAATATGTAAGAGTTCATTCCTGACTTCGGCAGCTGGTTTTAGCTGCGAATTCAAGGCAATAGCTCTAAAAAGGATTGTAGTGCCTGGTTCGTAAACTGCTCTGTCCGTTTGCACGAAAACCGTGTAACTTTTGTCGACAAATTCCAACGGAAAGTCGTCAAGAAAATCAACGCCTCCATTGCCTCGGATTTGAAGTTTATAGTCACCGTCCTCCAGGTCGCCCACCTGTAAATTATTTAAAGATTTTTTTGGGTGTCTGAATCAACAAGTATTTTAATTTGATTTTATTGGTTTTTGCAAAGGTGTTGTTACGCAATTTTAAGTTTTTCCACACAGCACAATTCAATTATACAATTTTCGAATAGATCGTCAAAAATGTTGTTTGATAAAAACATGTTTTGAAATTATCTATATAGGTACCAACAAAAGTAATGAATTAAACATTTCTTTTTAAATAAACAGGGATTTTTAAAAATTTGTTGAGTAAAAATTCTATTGGTATTTTTTTATTTAAAGAGCTACAAGATCGGATATATCGTTTTTTTTAATATTTGAAAAACAAAAAACCTGTCAACATCAAAAATAGTTTGAACTTCGTTGTTCATCTCCCTTGGAAGATTGTGGACGACAGTGTCGATGATTAAGACCCCTCCCGGAATTTTTTTGCCGGGCCGGGCTATACGCCCGATTAGGCTAGTGGAGTTTGGGACAAGGAGGGAAACCCTGTTGGTTTTCAGGGGACGATAGACTGACCCAAAACTGAGTACAATCCAAAATCTCCCTCAGCCAGGAATTTAGCACATTCAATTGGGGTTCATGAATGGAGCTTAGTTGGTTAATACGCTGTAGTGGCCTATTTTGCATCATGAGGTAGGTACTTCTTGTTGGCCTGTCTGCGTCCGTATCTCTGCTGAAAATTACTATGCTTAAAATTTGGAAACCGCTGTACACAAATTGTTTGCCCACTGTACGAAAATCATTTCTTGTCTTTAGAACCGATGTGTCTAAGACGGGTTGTTTCTTAATGCTGCTCTAACTTTGTGGCGTTCCCTATGTTCACTGAATTACGTTAATATTTGATTAAATTTTTATGTGTTGCAATTGCAATTAGGTCATGCGATTAATTATATTATAATAATAATAATAATTGAGGGGCCTAGAAGTAAAAGGGTTTAAGTGCATTTTTGTTAGTTCTGAGATAAATGGCTTTAAAGTTAACTTGAATTTTAAAATTCTAGAAAAGAGTTTAAAAAACTGTGTGAATATTTTAGTTTTGTTTAAAGACTAAAAAGGATTATAAAGAAAAAGAATTTTTTCAACTTAGCTTTTTTGTTAATTTTTTTTACAAAAATGTACTTGAATCGTCATGCATGTAAGACAAAATTTAGTGCAATTACTGTACTAGAACAAAACTTAATTTTTTAAAATTTAGGTAATTACCCAGCAAATACACTAGTCCGGCCATGCAATGGCACATTAATGGGCCATTGCATTATGTAATGGCCCAGTAATGCGCCGTTGCATGGCCGGAATAGTGTGTTTGCTGGGAAGTTTTACAACAAAAAGTATTATTCATAATCAGAATCTAATACAACGTTTTCTTCATCTGAATTAGCTGGTCTTGGTTGGGGTTGACCTAAATTGGATTTTTTTTTGGCTCAATACTATGGTCTTAGTTTGTTTCTTTTTTTTCTGATGGATCTCGATCGTGCTCTATGTTTTTATAAAATAAGTGGTAAATTGGCGGAATATAGTCCAATAGTAAATTTTTGTGCTTAGCGGCTTTTTTTAGCTTTTGCTGGAGTTACATGGCCTTCTTCTTCTACTTCTTCATTGATGTTAGGAACATAGTTACTATGTTGAATCCTCATCGGTCTGGACCGATGCCATAGTCGTTCCCACCCCGGTCACACTATGTCAAAACGAGCTACTTGTCAAGGCTTTAGCAGCATAGATAATAGCCTATGTTTAGCAGTAAAAGGTGCACTTAAATCGTTTTACCAAAGATATATTTTAAAATATTTTGACAGGTTTTTAAAGACGATAAGAAATGGCGCCAGGGAATGTAAAATGTACTTATATAATTTTACCACTAAGTTAGAATATTCTTTAGGTGTGATATACTGCACTGCACTGCATTTATTTAAAAAAGTGCACTTGAACCGTTTTACTTCCAAGCCCCTCAATTATTATTTATTATTAAATATATGTATACACTTTAATAAGCTTATAGCTTGTTCAGGCATTAATATACAAATGTTTTGAATTACATAATCAAACTCGCTACACTTAACCCTTTTTATATTTATCAGAATGGAACTTTCCTTTCATTATCCTCTCCTATTTTAAATATCCACATCAATATCTCCTTTGAAAAAAAGCTTTTCTTTAAATTACCAAATTTTATGTTTTAATACAACCAATTTTGACTTATATTTTTGACATTATCAACTAAATGTACTTACCAGTTTCTGTAGGAGTCCTTTAGTACCTAGTTCCGCTTTTGTTTTCCGATGCCGTAATGTTTCGCATGGGTTGGGTTGAACTGTGAGTATTTGGTTATTCTTTATTTAAGTAATTTTATATTATACATTTTATGGAAGCGACCTGTACTGTTTACATGCAAATCTTTTTTTTTAATTGTCAGTAATAACGACTTTTCAGTTTTTTTTTTAATTATTTAGGAACCCATGTTTTTTTCCAATTTTTAAATACAATTTTAATACCTACAATTGTAATAACTTAACTTTTCTCTAATTCGACCGTTCTTGTAGCTCTTTAAATAAAAAAGATATAGAAGGATACTTGTTCTTCTTATAGGGTATAGGGTTTAAAGTTTTAAAACTCTAAATACAAAAAAAAATATATGCAATAATAAGTTTATTAAGAAAATTAAAATTATTTATCGTTTTTATTGATTACATTACATTATTAAAGGTTCCTTTTGACCACCCTGTATACAAGTATACTGAACACTGATGGCGCAATGGAATTCGCTATTGGGTTTCTGGTTAAGAAAAACCTATACCTACCTAGATAATATATGTTTTAATGTTTTGGTATTTGAATGGAAATATTTGAAAAATAATCAACAAACAAGAATTGCTCACAGAGAAGATCTTAATTTTGAAGCAATGATATTTTTCCTTTTTCTCTTAATAAACAAAAATTATTATGAGTTTAAAAACAGTCAAATAAATACTTTTTATTTTTTTATGTTTTACTCTAGTTTTAACATAAAACAAATTTGTTATTTTATAATAACTTAGTCAGTAAAACTATTTCTTCGGAAATATTGTCTCTGCTAATATTTTAATATAACTTTTTATATTTATTTTTTACCAAAGTTTAAAAAATATGCTTTTAAAATTTAAAATTATTTCTTTGTTTTAGTGAAAAAATATTAACAAGAATTACTGAAAATTTTTATGAAAGTACCGTTGTTTATAATTACACGAGTAGAGAAAGAGTAGAATGTTTACAAGCTTAAATGAATATCTACTTAATTTATTCCCTTGTGCTTAAGCACAAGCGGTATTTAGGTATTTCTCTATGAAAATATTCACCAAAATACAATAAATGGTAAATATATTGAAACAACATTATTAATAAATAACATAACTATAGTTATGGTATACCTAGGTACCTAGGTACCTAGGTACCTACACTGCCCGTTAAAATTAACGCATAATAAGTAAAAAAATTCTAACTCTAAAACTCTCAGTTTACTTCTTTAAGGGTTTTTCGAAAAAATATCCTTAAGGCCCTTTTATTTAATAATAAAAAAAACGCTCGAAAAAAAACTTATATATATATAGGGATTTTTTAAAGTAAATAAAAAATATGCTGTGAAATACCGTATTTTTGTAATATACCCTGAAAATGTTGTACAAATCAAACGAACAGTAACAAAAATACAGCGCTTCACACCGGTCAAAAATGACCACTTTTCAGCAAAATAATAAAAAAAGGTAATTTTTACCGACTGAAGCGCTGTATCTTCGTTACTGTTCGTTTGATTTGTACAAAATTTTCAGGGTATACTAACAAAAATACGGTCTTTAACAGCATATTTTTTATTTACTTAAAAAAAAAATTCCCTAAAAGTTATTTTTTGAACATTTTTTATTATTAAATAAAAGGGCTTTAAAAATATTTTCTCGAAAAACCCTCGAAAACGTAAACTGAGATATAAGTTGAAGTATTCTTATACAAAATTTCATAAAGATTGGTAAAGGCGTTTTAGAGTTAGAATTTGTTTACTTATTATGAGTTAATTTTGACGCGCAGTGTATATTGAAATAGTAATAACGTAAAACGATTCATTTTAACGAGTTTTGTGCAAAAACGTTATTTATCTCTAATCATAAATGAAAATACTATTGGGAATACAAGGTTTTATGGGAAAATCAAGTTTTCAGTGAATAATAGATGTATGAAGATAAGGCGACGATTCTATAGATCTAGGTAGGTTTTAATTTTGATTATAATTTACATAGAATAAATCGAGCTCATTAGAGACAAGCGAATTTGTATACACATTTGTATTAATATAAACATATTTGATGAATAAAACTGTAAAAAAATGGTAACTATTTAGATATTGAAAATGTTATTCATAAAATGCCCATTTTTATACACATTTGCAAAATAGTGAAATTTAGTGAAACTTAACTCTCAGTTTCTAATTTCTAATGTCCATTCATACATGGTGTCCAGAAAATAGTATGCCATACTTTTACACGTACGTGGTTTTTAATGACAAAAATAGGAAAATATCTTCCTATAAACATAGTTCGACAAATGACCCCTAAGGGGCGCCTCTGAAAATGTTTTTTTATTACTATATCTGAAACGGTCTGAGATAAAATAATAACTTTTTATGCTGAATTTAAAAATTAAAACAAAATTTTTATTTGCAAGTGCAATTTAGATTTTTATACGTAAAAAATGCACCATTTTCGAATAAACATAAAGTAAGTAATTTTTACTTTTTCAATTTAACAAGAAATATTAATAAAAAAATACATATGTATATTTCCAGAAAATACAATATTTTATCTCAAACCATTTCAAAAACAGTGGCGGCTGGTGAATTTTGGATATACCAATATCTCAGTTATTAGACATGGGACCCACACCAAATTTATAATAGTTTATAATGATATTAAATAAACAAGTTCGGCGCAAACAAAATTTAAATTGAAGTTTGCGTAAAAAAGTTAGTTTTTTCTGTTGCCTCACCCGCCTCCAGGTCCCCCTATTTGAGATAATTCAAATTAAAGTGGTGCAATTTATTATCTACTATAATTTATCCACAAATTTAAAATTTTATTTAAAAAATCCAAATATTACAGGTTTTATCTCATTTTAAATATTTTTTTATTTTAATAAATTAAATAATAAAAATTTAAAATTAAATAAAATCTGTAATATTTGGATTTTTTAAATAAAATTTTAAATTTGTCGATAAATTATAGTAGATAATAAATTGCACCACTTTAATTTGAATTATCTCAAATAGGGGGGTCTGGAGGCGGGTGAGGCAACAGGAAAAACTAACTTTTTTTCGCAAACTTCAATTTAAATTCTGTTTGCGCCGAACTTGTTTATTTAATGTTATTAAACTATTATAAATTTGGTGTGGGTCCCATGTCTAATAACTGAGATATTGGTATACATGAATAAAAAATAATAAAACATCTTCAGGGGCGCCTCTTTAGGGGCTCTTTAGGTCTCTTGGGAGCCATTTGTCGACCTATGACCATATCAGTTTTTTCCTATTTTTGGCCCTAAAAACTGCTTGTAGATTATTGCACACTATTTCGGGGCACCCTGTATATAGGTAAGTAAAGTAAAAATAAGCCATTTGACAAAATTTTTATATAAGAATTTTTAGAAATATTATTTTTAAACATTATTAACAAATCAAGTTAATATGTTTGACGAAATGAAAAAAAAGGAATGATTAAATATGTTTGGTGCTTGTTAATTTATAATTTAGTAGTTGTTTTTGTTTAGAAAATGACTATTCAATTTTAATCATTTTTAATCATAGAAATGCTTTAATATTTTGAATTATGTATTTTTTTATATTCTACCTCTAAGCGGCAAAATCTGGATGTGTAAGGGTTGACCACGACTTGATCCTGGTTGAAAAAAGGCGTCCCATTTAGAGAACTACCCTGCAACTCGCATGTTATCTGCGTAGGTTCCGACGTATACTGGATACTGATGGCGCAGTGGAATTCGCTATTGGGCCGTATAATCCTGGGCCCCAAAACCTGATAATACCTAAAAAAAATTACAAAATAAATGTCTATGAACTAATAAACTATCCTCTCATCCCACGCAGTTAACTATTGGATTGTAAATTTTTAGACACAGTTTAAAGATTTGTGACGTAGTATTAAAGCCCACAGGATAAACAATAAGTATAGACTACATTCCATTTGGTTTGTATTTTTAGTGTTTTTATGTTGCAACCTTGTTTTTCAGCCCACATTTGCAAGTGTGGATATTATTTTACATCGGAGCATATTATTTAGTAATTGTTTATGTATTCTATAGAATTAAGTAAATTGTATTAGGTAACCAAGTTTATACGTACGAATGCGTATCATAATTATTGATTTATGATTTATAAAGTTTTTCTAGATATTACCAATATACTTTCTAAGGATAATTTGTTGGTTATAAATAAAATAAATTATAATTTCTAGTTCTACAATAGGAAATTAATGTTTTGAAAAGCGAATTTCAAGTGGACAGTTGGGATATTAAGCAAAATCAGTAAAATGCTAAAATTGTAGTTAAACCAGATTTATAGTATACCCTCTTGACAGGATTTTGCCAAGTCGATTCATTAAAATTCATTAATTTTATTTCGACCATGGTAAATGCATTTACATTAATTTAAAAATGAAAGTGAGCTGAAATAATATTTGGGTTAAAATCACATTTCTATAAAATATATATATACAGTGTAATTCATTTGTTTGCGACTTACTCACTTACTCACCCCTGTAAAATCTTTATTTATCACCCCTGTAAAATCCTCATTTATTGTTCAATTTTAACGGGATTTGTTTTAAAAAATGTAAGTTTTTGAGAGTAAATTTTTAAGAATTTAAATTAGCGATTTAAAAAAATCTATGAATAGCACTGGATTCACCACCCCTCAAAACGACCCTATACTAAATTTTATTAAAAAATTCCAATTAGGAACGATTTGGAAGTCAAATTAAAAATGAACAATAATAACTATTTACAAAAATTTATTCTGTCAAGTTATCCATGTAAAAAACATTGAAATAAAATTAAACTAATAATAGTAACATGGTATAAATATTCCTATGCTTAGTTTTGACAAATAAAAAATGCAATAGAAACTTAAAACATCAATGAAACAAAAAATAGAGAATTCGAAAAATTTTCTACAATTAGATTTTTGTCACCTTTACTGCACAACTACGGGCTATGGTAATTCAAGCCTGCGCAGCCATTACTCCAGAATAAATATGAAAGTGTATACACTATACAATATATTGAAATACATTAATACCTGGGAATAACGAAGTTATAACCATTTTTAATTTTGACAGATTTTAAATTTTTTTAAATTATTTGATTTTTAATTTTTAAATTAGTGTTGGGATCACTCGAGTCAAAAATAACCTATTACCCGGTTATTGAAATAACCTAAATTATTCGGTTATGAGTTTTGGATCCAAGAGATGAATAACCGGTTATTTGCGCGGTGTATATTTTTAAAATAACCTAATTGGCAAAAGTCTGAAACGCCGTGGTAAATAAAGTTATCTGTAATATACAGGTTATATTTTTAGGAATCTGCTCATTTGACAGTTGAAGTTTGTTTAAAATTTGAATTTATAGAAATTTGTTAACAAAAATTAGCATTAAATTTAAATTACTACGTGGAAAAGCTAAAAATGTAAACACTTGTATTAAAAATTTAATAATAATTTTTTGCCTACTAAAATTATGTTGAAAAACTACCAAAAAAGTAGATTTCTAGAAAAATGGTAATACTGCTTGAACATTACAAGCCTTTTTTAAGGTGTTGGCAACACTATTTTAAATCTTTAAATTTTTAATAGACTTGTAATTAAAGAAAAGTTGCGTCACTCTTACTGTCATTGTTCGCGTCACTGACAGTGAGCTTTGTTATTTATCTGGACAGAAAAAGCCCACTTACTTAAGGTAGTAAACTGTAGTTTTATTTTGAGTGCATTGAAAATTTCCAAAGGAAATATCTCGAAAACGGTAAATCGTAAACATTTATAAGGTATACGTTTTTTGAGAAAAAATTACCAGGAAAGCCATATTTAAAGAAAAAATTATATTAAAGCAAACTTAAAAAAGTTTCGTGATAAAAAAAAATAATTGTGCAGGTGGCGCCCTCTATGAGATATGTAAGTTCAAATGGGTTAAATATTTAAATTTGCCATACAAGAAATCCCACACCCCAAATTTTGCTAAAAATGATTAATACTTGCTATATTTATGGCCAAAATTAAAAAAAAAATAGAATTAACCTTACCGCCCTGTATCTTGGTTGCCGTTCACTTTTGGACTAAGAAAATTTCTTTTTGTAAATAATCTAATATTTACCATTACCTACTTATGGAACACTCAGTATAATATATTATATAGACAATTAAATTTTATTATTAATATTATGTATACATTTTTAACCTATTTATGTAAACTACAAAAAATGGCGAATGCGCAGGGATAATATTGTATGCCAAAATTATTCAGCCGCGGCTAGCCGCTCCGAACAAGCACAGGCACCACATCCTCCTCCATATATAAAATCTTAGGCTTTTCTAATTCAATGTAATTTTATGACAAGGAAAACGAGCTCAAAGGACTAAAAACATAATATTATTAGAAGAGACCCCAACAGGCAATCAGACAACGAAACTTTTAAAATGTAGGCCCTAAACTGATATTGCCAAACTTGCTCGACATTTAATTTAACATTGTATTGCTTCTTAAAAATAGAGAGGAAAGTGATGATATAAATCAATATTACAAAACATCATTCATAAATAATAAAAAACTTTCTTTTGCATAAATACTTTCAATATTTTGTTATCTCCTAGATGTCATCTTCTAAAAATACTTATGAAATAAATTAAATGGTACCTAATTCATTTTTTCTACTACCACCTTTAAAACTCCCATTATCGTACGTGTTTCCATGACAGTGAGTAATCTTTTAAATACACATTGACAAGTTGTGGCTCTATGGCGTTTAAGTTACCAACAAGTTTTTAGTCACGGGCTGAAGTTAGTTTTAAGTTAGTTGACAGTTGTCAAATGTCATACAATCGTTAAAATAAAGTGCCCTTCTTGTGAAATAATAATGTGGAAATTATGTTATTATCTTAATACAAAAATAGAAATAATAAAATAGTTTATCAACGCCAATACTTATTTGAAAAGTTTATATGCAAGCTTTGATTTTGCCGACAGTAAACTAGATTTAACTGAAAGTTGTCAGTCCATTTTCAAGGGATAAATTTACACATACAAATTTGACATTTTGACTGGCTCGCCGGTAATACAGATTCCTAAGTTAAAAATTTTTACGCGAGTTACTTTTTTTTAGACAATAAGTACTTGTCGTCTATAATATACTATGCAACTCGTTTATAAACTTCTCTAGACACTCATTTAATAAAGCACTAGACACTCATTTAATAAAGCACTAAAGCTCGCTAAATTAAATTCGTGACTAAAATGGCGTTTATCAAACTTGATACTTAATAAACTATTATGGGAGCATTTTAATTAACTAATATAAATAAACTAAATGATTTAAACGGGTCATGAGAAAAAAATACCATATCACTGGCTTTTTTTGAATATAATTTAAAGTCTTTAAAAATTAAGAATTTTATTTTATATTTTTTAACATAATTTTTTATCTTTTCACATAAATTACGATTATACATACTCTTAGGTAACATCTGAACTATTAATTTTAAAATTAATAATAATTATATATTTGTTTTCTAGAGTATATAACATTAGTTATTAATAGATAATTTTAAAACGATTTTTTAATGATACATGCACTGCCATTTATGGCAAGAGTGTGGAAAAGACCTCAAAGAGAGGTAAGAAGTTATAAGAATCATTAATGATATTACAAACGGAATTTCAAAGTGGCAATCTCAAGGTTTTTGCATTGTCAAAGCTTATAAGGTATACACACTCGGTCACGGCCACTATAGTTCGTAATTATGCGAAAACGAACTGTAGGTAAGTTTAAACAAATTATTTAGTTATGCATGTTGACTAACACTAAATTATAGCATGATTTAAGTGTGACATTTAATTTAGTTTACAGTTAGATCAAATTTTATTATCTCCGAAATTGTAGAAATTTTTCTTTAAATTGTTCTCATCAAAAGTTGTTAAAAACTTTACGGCTTTGCGTATTTTAAACGGCGAAATAAATGGGATACTCTTGTAAAATACTTATTTGAGGAGCTATTACAAAAATAAAAATCCGTCCTGCACGGTTTGCAATTTAAATAAAAATACCATTACCATGGTACGTTGTTAATTACTAAAGTTTTGTGTTAAACCTTACTTTTAAAGCGTTTAATAATTATTATTTACTGAAAGTAAATTAAAAAATACATATGCAATCACACATAAGGAATCTATAAATCTTTGAGTAAACATAAAATATGTAAATGTTATCCTTTCAAAGCGTTGTTATTCTTAAAGTTTACTGTATAAAAACGAGTTGATTTTCTAGGCTTACCAAAAACGGTCAAGTCTTGAGCAAATAGTTTTTTTACTCCCACGGAAACCACGTCATTTGCAGAGATGGATTAAATAAAAATTCAATAAAAACTTTGATATTCACAGAAAGTTACTCATGTTTGTTTCAGTGAATATCAAAGTAAACAATTTTCATGAACTCATTTTTGTTTTATTCTAATTTAATTTATTTATAGAATAACATGCATGATGAGTCAATGTCAATTTATGTGTAAATGGTTTAAATTTAGTTTCTGATATGTACACTATTTTTTAAGATTTTAGTAGTGTTTTTAACGACTAATGATATATTATTATATGTATATTGGGGCGTTCATTATTTGGGGTATTTTCGAAATCAACTCTTTTAAATCGATAAAAAAAAATCCCTGAAAATGTGTGCTCTCTATATCAACTCTAATTAGAGTTAATATCCGATTTTTGATCGAAATTTTATAAGTCTCTTGACGAATATACAATAATATACTTAAATACAGTTTTGTAGAGAATTGAACGCTCAACAAAAATGCTCTGATGTATAAAATTCGTAAATGAAAGCGTTCATATGTTAATTAACGTTCCAGAATTTAAATTTAAAAAAGTAAAATTTGTAAATCTCAACATTTTCCAAAATTCCAAAGAGGTCTACAAAAAGGCTCTAATGCATAAAAGCGTCCATATGTTAATTAATGTTTAACGTTTAATTCTATAGAGATACAAAAATATGTATTTTTAATTGAGGAGCATCCGTGCAAAACCGGCTATATCAACTTTAATAAAATGTTGGGAAAATGGCAAAAAATCTCGGTTTCCTGGCCTTTACAGATAAAAAAAGCAAACTTGAGTTTTGTGGGCTTTATGGTACTTGATTTATAAGACATACTTTCGTTTTCAAAACCTTTATATTAAGGCATAAATTTCAAAAAATGTTTTGTATATAAGCCGGTTTTGCTCAAAAACCTACGAATAAAATGTGAAAAAAACCAAAATAAATTTAGTGAAAACATGAAAAAACAAAACAAATTTTGGTAGCAGTATCGACATATCCAAGCCACATGCTCATCATCATTATTATTTATTGGATATAGCCGGGTTTACTATATAAACGTGGATTTGGCCGGTTTTGCTCCTAAAGTTACCTTTTAAATGTGGATATAGTCGGATTTAAACCGAATTATCTTGGTTGAACCCAAAGATGCGAAATCAACAAAAAAAAAAAAAAAAAACTGAATAAAATGGATTTAGCCGGTTTTGCACGGATGCTCCTCAATTATGGGCGGTATATTCGTCAACGACTTATAAAATTTAAAATAGCAAAACAAGTTTTTCGCATATTGTTTTCATAGGAAATTCTCTTAAGTATACGAAATAAACAATCGTGTTACAATAGTATGTAATTTATAATACAATTTTATAAGAAAGCCTTTATCGCACTAGCGACAAAAATCACAAGAACGAGCTTTTCATTTTTTTTTAAATTTTTAAATATTAAAAATTTTGGGAATTAACAAAACAAACTTAAATTTTAACATTTTAAAAAAGAGAGCTTTTCTAGTTAAATTCAATTCCATTCCTCTACGTATATTTTGCCTTGCATCATTCATATTTTTTGACATGATTTTTAAATTAAGCCCATGTAGGTATTAGGTATTATTTTTTATTAATTATTTTTTATTTATACATAAATAATATTATGATGATTTTCATGACGTTTTAATTAAATTTTTAAACTAATTTACAATAGTTTGTTTATTTCTTTCATAAATTACAAGAAAAGTAGGACAAAGAAATTTTTAATCTTATAAAATCTTATTAATTGTAAAAGTTGTTGTTATTCATACATACTGTACTTGATACGCATATTACCAATTTACACAATTAATTAACATATGAAATAAAATACTTCTCACAAGGCTAATGCTATTTTTTCCTTTATATAAATAATAATAATTAAAATATTATCATTTACCTAAATATCTAATACAAAAAAAAATACCAAATTTACACTTATACTTCGCAAAATACAGATAAGTAAAATAAAATAAACCATTTAATAAAGATAAGTTCAAAATAATAATTATTAATGGGGTAGTTAAATTTTTTCTGACCTATACTTTTTATGGTTTTATTCAAGGCGTTTTGTAATTTTAAACATTTCTGTGAAATCGGAATTTCAATTGAGTTTACCGTTTTCGAGATATTTACAAAAAAAAATCTCCTAATTACGTCACTAGGCTATTGACCATGTTGCCAGCTTTTTCTATGGTTGCCAGTGTGTTTAGTTTAAGATTCTTACGATAGATGGCGCCACGTTATAATATTTTAGTTTTAAAACCACTTGATCTATAATTTTCGTTGAGAAGAAAAAGAAGAATTGATTTTTTGACGTTTCTTTTTTTCGGGTTATGTTTTTTTTTAATTTAGATTATTGAAAATCAATGTTATTATTATTATTATTAATAATAACGGACTCCAAAGCAGAGGAATCTTGTGGAATGGTTGGTTACATTGAACATTGGAGCTTTTAAACAAATCAGGGATGCAAGTTTTATAAAAACTATACACAAATATCATAATTAAATACCATTGTTAACTTACATTTACTGTTATTTTTTGTAAATTTATTTCATTCATTTTCAGCTTTATTTTGCCACTTTTTTCTATGAAATATATCAAACTCTGCTTTAGACAGTTATTAGGTACCTATTTATTACATTTTATTAGGTTTCACACGGTGTTTCAATGTGTAAACCTATCAATAAAACTTTTAATTTCAGAATTTTATTTAACCTCCACTTCTTCTTTCACTCAACTGACAGTGACAGTATTTGTACATAACCTCTTCGGGTATTTTCTGACATAACCGAATGAAATCATTAAGACAACTTGACAACAGGGTAATTTTCAACCAATAGAAATCTTAGAATGTTGGTCACATGGCGAGGTTTGTGACGTCATAAAAATTTATATTTTTTGTAAATATCTCGAAAACGGTAAACTCAATTGAAATTCCGATTTCACAGAAATGTTTAATATTTCAAAACGCCTTAAATAAAAAGTATAGGTCAGAAAAAATTTAACTACCCCATTATTTCTAAAGCGTGACTGGAATATTAACGCTAATAATAAATATAATATTAGAGCCTAATGGCTATATTAAGTTGTTTTCTGTAAGCAACATATATGTATACATATTAAATTTTTATGGTATACAGTAGGATTAATTTTAATTAAAGCAATTAAAGATAATAATTATAATTATTTATTACGATTGCGAAGCAAGCATATCATTTATTAAATAATCGGTTAACAAATATGTCTGTAAACATATTAGGGTGGGACTTATTTTTGCAAAGTCCGAATTATGTCCCTCACCGACCTAAAAAGTGATCTTTGATTTTTGTCACCAGTTATGAAACACCCTGTATAATGTTCTGAAAATGTCAATTTAGTAATTAAAAGCCAATGAAAAGTAAAAATATTACGAGATTTTTGGCATCTTGATTAAAAACGTTTTCACTTTCCTTATGTGGGCTGAGAAATTCATTCAAGAATCGTCTTTGTGTTAAAAAAGTAAGAGCAAACCACCTGTTCGTAAAACTGAGTTAAAAACCTAATTATTGTTTACTTTTTACATTATTAACAGTAATTATACCTTTCTAATATATGTTTTATAAACAAAGTAATGTTTACATTACTTTTTGTATAAATATGTAACTACATAATATGTACTTGGGTATACCCAGTTATAACTTGAAACATTTGTCATGTTTTTATTATCTTGTAACATTTGTGCAATTTTTTATAATAGCAAAAATACTAATTTGGTGTTTTATTTGCATAAACCATATAATTTCTATGCACATTTATTTACAAAAATATTTAAAGTTAGAGAAAGTTGTCTTTAATAATATATTTATAAACTACATATTTTAAAATTTTTAAAGCAGTCAGGAAATCGACTTTGTATAATAGGTTCTAGTTTCCATACTAATTAGATAGAATTATTGCGTAATTGGGTGATTTACGTTGACATGATATTGTTTTCTATTTCACAAATGTATAGAATATATTATATACTTATATATTTTTAGGAAAACAATATTTAGATTAAATGTAAAACTTTAACGATATAATAAAGATACACATGAAACAAATGACGTAACGCCAAAGACAAACACAGGAAAGATGACCCACACAAGGTCATACAGTTTTTTTAATAGAACAATAAAAATCGCGAATTTTTAAAAGTATTGAATTTTTTAACGAAATTTAAAAAAAAATGATCTCATTTAAACTGTTTATTCATTCTGGCGCATTATAATGCCTGGGTCCCAAAAAATTGGGCAGGCTTCGCTTCCATAGGCCCTCAAATGTAGCCCGAAAAAGTTATTTGGGTTTTATCCAAACCAAAGTTAAAATAAAAAAAATGACTTTGAAACCGAATAAGTAACGTTTTCCAGTGTGTAAGAGCATAAAATATTCGAAAAAATAGATTAAACCCCAACAAATTTGGTTCGCTAAATCGCTATATATAAACCACAAAAAAATATTAGTTACTACAGTTTATAGTGGCTGCTTTTTCACTTATACCATGGTTAACCATGGGATACCATGATATCCCCAACATTTAACAGCCAATTATTATGTAAAATTGTCCCCTAAATCCAAAAATACCATCCAAAATTATGAAAGTAGAGCAGTTTTTGAGATATAGTCAATTCCATATTATATGGAAAAAATTTTGACGACATTTTCGGATTCAGGGATTTAATTTTACATGGAAATTGACTTGAGACTTATTAGTGGCTGCTTTTTCGCTATGACAATTAGTCATTTTTCACTAATTCATTTTTAGAGAGTAGTTTTGGGGGGTGCGATAAATAAAAAAATCTGGGTGCATAAATTTTCGATGTCACCACCTGTGACAACTTTCAAGATTTAGGTACTGTAGTAAATAAATACTTATACATTTTGAGTTTTTTATGTGCATGCATTAATAAACATGTAAAAAGTATGTTTTTTTAGTGGGGTGAAAAGGTAAAAGATTTTAAAAATGTCAATATATTGAATGTTTTTCTACAATAAAAATATCCTTACCCTTCGCAATAAACAAAAGTCACCAAATAGGCAAAAATGCAAAAAACACGTCCAAAATACATTTTGTTCACTACAAACAAATTAAAACACCACAAAAAATCAAATTAACCCTTCGTCCGCATAACAAAAAAATGTTCACTTTTCCGTCAGTTCATCTTTTGTTTACAAAAAGAACGAGATCATGAAATTGCAGTTGTTTGTGCGAAGCGCTAAACCGCGTAACACTCCAGTAGAAAGCAGGCTGTGCACTGAAACAACTGCTGCACTTGACAGTTCGCGATTCGCGACTCGCTATCCGCGGCCTACCTTGTTTGTTTGTTCTCCTGCTACGGCAATGCTGTTCACTCAGCCCACTAGATTTTTAGCGTATTGTGGATACCTGCTTGATACAATGGTATGGTGCAATTTTATTAACTGCAAATTCTATAAGATAATCACAGTAAATGATATTAAATAAATCGGAGACTTTAATGCTTACTAACGAAAGAAAACCTACGTTAACCTTGTTTTTTGGTAAAAAAATATTTATTATTATTATTATTAATATTAAAAAAAGGTGGTAATTATTTTATTACTGAATATTGCAGATGCCAAATTTGTACTTTGCACAGCAGACGACATGTCTGCTCTTGATTCTATAGAAGTACCTATACTTTAATACTACTATATAACTATAGTATCACCTATATACAGGTCCTTTGGGATTTCAATAAAAAAATTAAATGTTAAATTACATTTAATAAAAAATGTTTTTTTTTAAGCGGCCATAATATAAATAATAATATACAACCTTATATGCATGTACACAGAAAGAAAAATTTGATTAATAGTTAATAAATATAAGTTTAAAGCATATATGCTAACATAAAGTATAGCAATATACTAAATATATTACTAAAATTATTTTAAAAATTGTATTCTAAATAATAGAATGTGGTTTTCTTAATAGTAACCTGGGATAAGTTAAAGGCTATTGATTTAATGTTAGTGAATGTAGGTTTGTTGTTAATATACTCAGTTTGTTCCAAATATTTATTAAAATATCAGAAATTATAATATAAATTGGTAACTGTTATTTTACGTTAAATAAACTTAAACCTTGGTATGCTGATATTAAGTTTAAGTTGCAATAATTATCAGCAATGAAGTTATTAACAGCTGATAGGCATGATGTACGCCATGTAAGTCAGTGCACTGAGAATACTCATGCGGTGAGGTTGATATAATGACAGACCAGAATAAGAGAACTTTGGGGTTTGTACTTACTTATTATAAATATCTAGTTTTGCTTTTCCAAAAACTGTGCTATATAGGAGATATGCCATAATTAATACGCCGAAATCGTGTTTTTCCACCATGCTAGAAGTAATAAGCGTTTGAACCATGAGGTTTTTTGTTGTTGTTTTCTAAACAATTAGGTAATAGTTTATATTAGTATTAATAATTATTATTATATAAATTGTTTTAAAGCTGGTGGATGTACATAAGTATTATTTGTTAAATTAAATTTCGTATTTAACTATACTTTTTAACCGTGCTGTTTGCATAATCATATGCTAACATAATACTTACTTTCATAGATTAACTATTAGCTGATAACTCAGAAAATGTGATTATTATAATAAAATACTAATAGAAAACCAAATAACATAACAGTTAGTAAATACAATATTTAAAATAATAAGGTAATTTTAATAGTTATTAAAGTGATTTAACTATTAATATTTCTAAACCTTTCTATTAATAAATAAAAGGTAAGGTTAAGTACTTCTTTATATCTTGTAGTATTATGACTGTTAGTTCATAATATGAATATGAACTTCATATAGGTTTGGCAGAATACGAATCCACTAAAGGGTAACTATTACCTTGTAACAGTTAATGTTATTATTTCTTTTTCTCTGTGTATAGAGTTGAAGTGCGTCTTTTTCATTAGCGGCAGACAAAAAACTCAAAAAAGCCTATAGGTGACTCAATAGACGTCAAATAATAAAATTAATTTAGCATTTCATACAAAGCAATCACGATGTATTAATTATATTAATTATATATAATTATAATTATATAATTATAATCACACGGAATATTTAGTGATTATTTATTACATTTTAATTGAACGAAATAAAGAACAACTAGTTTATTAGTATATTATTATGATGATAGACGAGTCGCCAATGTCGGAACTCCAAACAAATGTCAGTACGTCAAAATTAATTCAAGCGCAGCATTTTGACAGAGCAGTGTTTATTTTTAGTGTAGGTTATAAGTTTTTTTAGTAGAGTCACTTATGACATAATCTACTATATTCATCCACATAAACAATTTTGGCTATGGCCAAAATACTACAATGTACACTGTGATCCTCTATAATGTCGCCCCCTTTTAACTTTTTTATTTTAAGTGTCTCAAAAAATTTAAAATTGTGGTTATAACCATACCAATAGGTATGTAGGTACTAAAAATACTTTTGTCTATAGACAGTATACTGTAAAGTCCATGTCTGACGGTGCAACTTCTCGCGGCGATTTTGTTGCGGCGACTAGGTCGCCGCGATTTTTTGGTGGTCACACGATGCAACTAATCAGCTGATCTAACCTGTCTCAAAATAGAACATGTTCTATTTTCATGCAATAAAATCGCCGCGACTTAGTAACTTTTTTAGGGATTTACGAATTTTCACTAAATTTTTTGGTTGGTACTCAATATTTATCAGCTGTGGAATGACAGATGTGATTTGCGTATGCTTTAATGTGAGTGTTTTTATTTTTACACCACAAAATACTTATAACTTTAAAAGAAAAACAAAATCGATTTAAATAAACATTAAATTTGTTTAGGTATTTTTATTTTTTAACTAAGTAATTTTCGGTTATGTTGGCAATCCTAGTAGAAAATAACGTCAGTTTGGTTGCACCGTGTGAACACCCTAGAGGCGAGAAAGTCGCTGCAACTAGTCGCCGCAACAAAGTCGCCGCGAGAAATTGCACCGTCAGACATGGACTTAATGGTACGATATATGGTGCAGTTAATTTTTAACATTTCTTAATTTATTATTTTAAGGCTTTACGAAATATGAGACTAGTTCTAAATATTTAACTTAAAATTGTATCAAGGGTGCATTAGTAACTTAATATTTGAACCCATTCTGTTTATATTATATAATTTATTAGGGCCATATTTAACCTAAGCATTCCAGAGTTAGAGTCTTTGTCAACACGTAATAAAAATAGGGTATAGTACGTTTGACTTAGTATGATATTTGTAAAGCACTGTAAAGGCGCTAAGTGTAGACCTACGTGTTGGTGTCTTTAAGCATCCCATGCTGCACTAGGGAGACTCACCAAAACCGCACGTATGTCTGAGCCATATCGGTAGACAGTAGGGTGATTCAAAAAAAGCCTTTTTTTAAAAATGAACCCGCACTGGCCTAAATTATAAAGATTACATTAAAACTAAAAGATTAATACCAAAAAATCCAAATTCGATGAATATTTAGAGGTCGCTCAAATCGATTTTCGTATTTTTGCACATTCGAGCCGCGAAATTATTACTGCGCAAAATAGTAAATAACTCCGTTAGTTTTTATTAGATATTATTAAAAATTTAAGGGTTACCTAGTTTTTTAATACTCTCTGAGACAGTGTATTGAACTTTACAGAAAAATTTAACATTAGAAACAATCATTGCAAAGAAAACGATGTAGAACAGTGGATTTTTTTATTTTAATTATAAAAAGGACATAATTTAATAACTACCTAGTTTAATTAATTAAATATGGTATCAAAAATAAAGAAATATTATAAAAATACGTCATAATTAATAAAACGGATATAAATTATTTATAAAATCGGTTAAAAATGTGAAAAATCTAAATTACTTAATTATTTTTAGGTTATATATTATATAAATCAAATAAAATTTCTTTCGGCAGGTTTTCTGTATACTAAATAATTTAAGTGTTATTTTCTTAGTTTTTTTACGGTACCATCATAGTGCGATTCCAATTGTTGCTTATTTTATAAGATGATACGTTTTTATTAACAAATTATTTTTTTTCATGAAAAAAAATTTTTTTCTGTAAAGTTCAATACACTGTCTCAGAGGGTATTAAAAAACTAGGTAACCCTTAAATTTTTAATAATATCGATTAAAAACTAACGGAGTTATTTACTATTTTGTGCAGTAATAATTTCACGGCTCAAATGTGCAAAAATACGAAAATTGATTTGAGCGACCTCTAAATATTCATCGAATTTGGATTTTTTGGTATCAATATTTTAGTTTTAATGTAATCTTTATAATTTGGGCCAGTGCGGGTTCATTTTTAAAAAAAGGCTTTTTCTGAATCACCCTAGTAGACAGAGAAGGTTCTCACGTTCCAAATGAACCATATCGATAGGCCTGTTTGGCTTTGATAAAATAAACATAAAAACAGCATGTTAAAAACTGAAGAGAGGGTATTTTTTAGACAGTGGTGTTTGCTATTTGAAGAGACAGTTAGGTGTTGCTATTTGAAGGGATTAGTTTAATTCTATAATTTTGTAACAGTTTGGTTTTGCTATTTAAAGAGACAGTTAACTAATTACGTGTTGCTATTTGAAGGGATTAGTTTAATTCTTTAATTTTGTAACAGTTTGGTTTTGCTATTTGAAGAGACAGTTACGTGTTGCTATTTGAAGGGATTAGTTTAATTCTTTAATTTTGTAACAGTTGGTTTTTGTTATTTGAAGGGAGAGTTACGTTTTACTATTGAATTCTTTAACTTTATCAGGGAGTGAATTTAACAAATATTACATTGTTTTTTTTATATAAATTCAGTTTTGTGAAAGTGTTGTTTATTTAAATAGGTATGTCTTTTCTATATTTAGTTATTATAATCTGAGGTCACAAATATCATAATGAGTACTCATTGTTAATTATTTAATATTAAATTTAAGAAGAAATAAGCTGAATTGTTTTTATCTTAATGATTGTTGTGGACAAACCAAATTACAAAATATTATAATCATTATTTTATGTTTATAATTATTATATTTCACAGCAAACGAAAAATTATAGAAGTGTATAGAATGACTCCGCGTTTGAATATCAAATCTTAAAGTTTTATCATAACTGTATTGAATCGTGCTTTGTTTTTATATTTTTCGGCTCTATACCTATGTACGACTATATTTAAAGTCAAACTCAATGGTGTCTTACAAGATACATTATTTTGATTTTCTATATTCAACAGAGGAGTAGAAACTCGACCCTGTCGAATGGTGCAGTCATATATGTCTCTAGAAATTATTAAAAAAGGGT